AAAATGCAGCTTTGGCTACCAGAGGAGATGGAGGGCCCCTCGATTCATAGAGGGCGAAAGAGCTTGAGAGAGAATGAGAGAGAGAAAGACAGACAGACAGAGACAGACAGACACAGAGAGAGAGAGACAAGCGGAGCTGGCAGCGTAGGCGTTCTAAGAAAACGCGGCAAGCGGCAAGAGGCGTAGACGCTCCAAGAGGCTGCCCCTCGAATAAGAGAACTGCGGAGGAGGGGCCTTGCAAAAGGAGACGCATGAGGGAGAAGGTGAGAGTTGAGGCAGCACAGCGCGGTGCATCGGCCACAAGGGAGCGATGCCCCCTCAGGGAGATATGCCAGCCAGCCCAGCGAAAGGGCAGACGGCGATAAGAGAGGCTAACGGCCTGAGAACGGTTGTCTATTGGAGCCTACAGGAGAATCGATGGGGTGCTGTCTCGTGAAAGCGAACACAGGGCCGCCTCTCTGCTTCCGCGCATGCGAATTCTCCGCTTGGTGCAGCCTCGTCTACGGTGCTACTAGGGAGGCTCTCTCTCCGCGCTGGGGCGGAGGCCTCTCCTGACTTCCGCTGCCGCAGAATCGAGCGATAGTGATTCTTGCTGCAAGTCTGCAGTCGCTCCCTGCCGTCGCGTTCGTCCTCGCTGCCTCGCGCTGAGGAGCACTCCGGCTGCTGGGGAAGGAGGAGGCCTTGTCTCTGCGGTGAGGATTCAGAAAAATGATCGTCCTGGTGCTCGCTTTGCACGGGAGGTGAGGCATCCGCGATACGAGCGAAAACAATGTCGAGAGCCTCCGCGTCTGCAGCATCGGCTGTGACGTCCCCCGCCTCCCTCTCCTCAGTCTCCTCCATGACAGCCGCCACTACATCGCCAGGCGTGAGGCCTGTTGCTGCCGTTGCCTCTTCCTGCAACACGTCTACAGCAGCCAGAACTGCGTGCATCTCTACTGCCGTCAGGAGCTTCTGCAGCCTAAGAAGAGACTTGGCACGGTATGAAGAAATGTCCAAGGCACTGCGGCTCCCCCGACCCTCCAAAACAGCCAGCCGGGTATCCTCCACACGCGCGCGAAACTGCAGCAAGCACAGCACATACACATAAACATACATACATATACATGTACAGATATGTATATATACATATACATACGCGTGCACATACATACAGACATGCATATATGTACATATGTATTTACACATACATACAGGCATATATATGTATATATATATACACACACATACACATACATACAGACACATAGATATACATACACATACATACAGACATATGGATATACACATACATATACACATACACATACATACACACACATGCACACAGACATACATACACATACATACACACGCGAAGCTATGCTCGCGCCTGGCTTCTTTTTGGTGGCAACTTGACCCCAGAGGAGCGAAATACCAGCGAGCACCCCAACGAGAGAAAATCGCACACTCTCACAAAAAGAGAGAGACACAAGAGTACCAAAACGTTTCCCCCTCCCTCTCTCCTCCCCCACCCCTCCGCGTCCATCGGCGCATGCTGCCCGCGCCAGCACTGCAGCAACACGAGCACCGTGAATGTCAGAAATCAACCGCCTACACAGCAACGCACCGACGAATTTTCCCACTGCAACTTAAGGTTCGTTGCCCACTGCAACAAGCGTTCGAGCCGCGCGATGGAAAAGGCATCAGCTGACTCGGAGGGGCAAAGGCCCACTTGCAGCTCTCGCCGCAGGTGCTGCCGCTTTTCTAGCTGCCGCTTCATCTCCGAAGACGGCGTGTTGATGAGGGAATTCAAAGCCACCGTTAGATCCTTTAAAGAGCTGTCTATTATTTCCACAGCGTCCCCCAAGTCCATCGCCCTTGCCCAGAGCTCCTGCTGATACGCTGAAGAGAAATATGCCGGAAGCAAGGGAAAAGAGACATGTATACGGCGGCAGCAAAGGAGGAGCCGCACAACAACACCTGCTGCTGCACCCAACGCAGCGCAGCGCCTACAAAAGTGCTTGAGCCCGTGTATGTACCCTCAAGCAGCAGCAGCAGCAGCAGCTTCACCAGGAACAAACAGCACATGCAACTGACCGACAGGCAAAGGGACAAGTTTGTGGACGGCGTTGCTAGAAAGGCCGCTTTCGTCTAGGCCCCCAAAATTGAACAAGACTCCCCCGTACTCGATCAGGCTAGATCCACAGACGCGCGGAAGGCATTCGCCACCTGCAACGGGAGGGGAACAACGCGGCAGCAAAAACAACAACTGCCGCTTATCAGCAGCAGCAGTAGCAGCAGCACCCGCAATTGCGCGTCTGCGAGGCTGCAGAAGGCAGTTCGTGAAGAACGAATCTGCAGCGAACTCCCGAGGCGCATGCAAGCGAAGCGTCTCAGTCCCTGACCATGCTGGCACTGCCTCATCGCGGCGCAAGATAATTTTGGCAGGAGTCAAAAGAAACCTAGCAGGAAATGCTCACCGAGTCGCAACTTAACCCATGTAAAGGCCGGCCTGGCCCCCGCTCTGCAACAGCAACAGCAGAAGCAACAGCAGCAGCAGCAAAAGCAGCTATAGACATGTCACAGAGAGCCCAAGCCGCGAGCAGTTCCTCTTATCCCCTCTTGGCACTTTTGGCAGCAATAATCTCCGCAAAGGCCAGCAGCAAGAGGAGCAGCAGAAGCAACAGCAGCAGCAGCAACAGCAGCTATAGACATGTCACAGAGAGCCTGAGCCGCGAGCAGTTCCTCTCATCCCCTCTTGGCACTTTAGGCAGCAATAATCACCGCAAACGCCAGCAGCAAGAGGAGCAGCAAAAGCAACCGCAGCAGCAGCAACAGCAGCTATAGACATGTCACAGAGAGCCTGAGCCGCGAGCAGTTCCTCTTATCCCCTCTTGGCACTTTAGGCAGCAATAATCATCGCAAAAGCCAGCAGCAAGAGGAGCAGCAAAAGAAGCAACAGCAGCAGCAGCAACAGCAGCTATAGACATGTCACAGAGAGCCCAAGCCGCGAGCAGTTCCTCTTATCCCCTCTTGGCACTTTAGGCAGCAATAATCACCGCAAAGGCCAGCAGCAAGAGGAGCAGCAGAAGCAGCAGCAGCAACAGCAGCTATAGACATGTCACAGAGAGCCTGAGCCGCGAGCAGTTCCTCTTATCCCCTCTTGGCACTTTTGGCAGCAATAATCACCGCAAAGGCCAGCAGCAAGAGGAGCAGCAAAAGCAGCAACAGCAGCAGCAGCCAAAGCAGCAGCATAGAGGCGAGACTTACACTCCTACTTGCGGCGTAGCCGTGTGCTGCCCTGAGACACGAGAGCGTTTTTCGGAAACAGCTGCTGCTGCTGCAACGCGTAAGGGTAGCGAAGCTCGTCTGCCGCTGCAGTGTCGCCATGGACCCTTTCCAGCAATCAGCAAGTCCGGCCAGTTCGCCCCTAGCGACTGGGGGCCCCCCGGGGGGCCCCCCCGAGGTGGGCGCCATCCCTCCTCTTCTGCCCCTCCTCCGCTGCTCTTGCCTGAGTCGCTGCATGTCTGCGCGCCTAGGGAACGGCTCAGGAGCTCTTGAAAGAGGCTCAAATTGCGGTCCTTCTCCTCAGGCTCCCCCTCCCCGCCGTCACGATCCGCAATTCCAGAAACTCCAGCAATTCGAGCGGCGGAAGAAGAAGCGGAAGCAGAAGAAGAGACAGCCACCGGAGGCAGCGTGAAGGGCACAGGGGCCCCCATACGCAACAGCTCCAAGAGGGAGTGGCGATGCGCATTCAGACCTCCCTGATTGACCAACATGCTCCCTGCGCGACCACACCGCAATTCTGGAAACTCTGCGGCAAGCTGCAAGACAGCCTCCTAGCGACACACACACAGTCGCAGCAGCTTCTGCTGCAGCGGCTTCTGCTGTAGCTGCTCCCTCAAAGGATGCACTAAGTAAACGCCTCAGCGTCTACGCTGCCGCTGCCGCTCCTGCTGCCACTGCTGCTGAGCAACCCCTACGCAATCTCTCCAACTCACCGATTCGGGCTGCATGCAACGCAGCGGCAGCAGACCTTAGCGAGTCACGCTTCATGCGCTGATACCGACTGCAACACAAACGTGAGCCTGGACTGCTGTTGTCGCTACTACTACTGCTGCTGGTGCTGCTGCTACTACTGCCGCTGTCACTACTGCCGCTGCTGCAGTCAATGCTGCTACTGCCGCTGCTGTCACTGCGGATGAAACCATAGTCACCAACCGCCTTGACGAGCTCAGAAAAGACATTTTTATTCGCGCTGCCGCTTACACTGCCGCCTGCTGCAGCCGCATCAAGGCTGCTCCCCGCATTCCTGAATAAAGGCCCCTCGCCGAGTGCAGCGAAAATAAGTCCTCCTGCGTCTTTCTGCTCTGCTGCCTCTTCCCCCTCACGTACCGCAGCTCCTTCCGCATCAACGCGCCTGCCAGTCCGCCTTGCCTCCGATCTCTTCCTCTCGTAAAAAAGCTTGCCTTCATCGGCAACGGCACATGCATCGGGAGGCGGATGCGAAGCTCCTCCAGCAGCGATGGAAGGCGCTGGCGGGAGCTGCTGCTTCTGAGGCGGGCAGGCACTCGCCGAGATGCCGCTGAACGACTTAGAAAGACCCCTCTCCAGCGGCTGGGGTGTCCATACACCTGCTGCAGCAGTTCCTGCAGTCGAAGGGATGGGCAGTTCTGTCTGCTCGAGAGGGGCCTCCTCCGCTGCGTTGCTGCATCCGTTGAGCCGCAAACCCTCGATCGCTGCTGTCTTTGGTGCCGCCAGAGGAGAAGCAGCACAACAAGCAGCAGCAACAACAATAGTCCGCGCAGGATGGGGTGTACTTACCGTTGCTGCCACCCCGTGCGCTTCATGCTCTTCCACCCCAGAAGACGAAGCAGCCGAAGCGCCTAAAGCCGCTGCTCTTGCCGCTGCTCTTGCAGGCTGCCTATGACCAAGCGGCTTCGCCATGTAGCTGCTGCTCCCGAGCCAACCAGCCTTCTTCCTGCTGCTAAATGCTGCTGCTGATGATGATGATGCTGGTGATGATGCTGCTGCTGCTGCTGCTTCTCAGGCGAGAATCGCCAAGCTGCAGGAAGCCCTTGAGCTGGTCGCCGATACACTTGATGCCGCTGGTAGTAGTGCCGCCGTGGGGGTGTATCCGGGGAGCCTAACACAATACGGAGAGTGAGAAATTGCGGCTGCTGCACTGCGTGCATGCATGCGCTGCAGTCCGTTTCTTCGCGGGGAGATGGTGGGAGCTCTGTGGAGGGATAGGAGGCCCCTGCATGAAAGAGGGTCAGCGCACTTGGACGGCTTGCTGGTACACGAGCTGCCGCTGTTGCCAGAACGTGAGCCAAACCCTAAAACTTGCTACGGCTGCAGCGGCAGCAGGTGCTGCTGCAGCAGCAGCAGCACCTGCTGCTGCTGCTGCTCTCTCGTCCGCGGAGCAGCAATACTGCACGGTGTTGCTTGAGCCGACGGACGCCGATTTGCGCAGATCGCCGGCTGTGTTGCTGCGAGCGTGCGCGCGCGGGCTGCTGGTGCTGCTCTCTCTTGCCAAGAGCTCGCCGCTGGTCAGCTGCAGTTTGGGGTGAAGGCTATGCCATCTGCGCAGCAAGCCCCTTAGGCCGCGCTGAGAGTTGACAAAGAAACGCAAAAGGACAAATCCGAGGGGCGATTCGCTTTCTCTGCGAAGTTTCCAGGGTGATCCTGCCTCCAGTGGGAGGGAGGGGGGCCCCTGTGGTCAGAGCGCTACTGCCGGTGCTGCTGCAGGAACGGAGCATGTCGTTGGCGCAGGAGTCGCTGCAGCGGCGAATGCTAGGGCGTAAGACAGCTTCAATGTACTTGCACGTCTATTTGATGGGATATTGAGTCTCCTGGACGCTCCTCATCCTCCCGTTTGCACGGGGGCACATCCTGCTTGGTTTGCCAGGGCCCCCCTCCTTCCGTGGCAGGTGGTGGTATTGGCGCGCTGCTCTGTTGCTGCGTCCCCTGGTTGTCTTTTTTTGCGTCTTTCCTCCATATTCTTCTTCCCCACGAGTCGTGGCACGCGCACATGCATCGTCAGCGGCAGCCTTTTGCTCGCGCCAGTTTCTCGGTGGCCTTCTTGTTCCCACACTTAGCCACATCCTGAGGCTGCCCATACGCAGCGGCTTCTCTTGTCTTCCCAGCGCCAAGCGCCGCGCTCCCCCTCCTCCCGTTCCTCCCCGTTCCCCCTGCTCCCCCCTACCTCGTGCACCCCACCGTAATACGTTGCTGCTGAGGAGGGGCCCTTTGGGGAGGGAAGGCGCGAGGGGGAAGGGAAGAAGCAGCACTCGCTCGCCAACGGGGTCTGTCCAGCGCCCTTCTCTTCCCCTTTGCTGCCCTCTAGTTCTGCTTCAAAGAACCTCGGGGCCTGCGCGCATGCATGCTACAGCGGCGAGGCGGGAGCGCACAGTCTTTTGAGCTCTTATCTCGCTATGTCGGGCAGCAGCGGCAGGAAGCGTCTCTCTGGCGGCACTGCTTCGTGCGCGTCTTCTGCCGAAGCAGCTACAGAGAACAACGTCTCCAGCGCCGGTGCAGAGACTGGTCCAGATTCGAAGCTTTGTCACCACCACCATCACGCCTCACCGGAAGCCGCAGCCTCCAGCGGGGGCGGAGAGAGCAGCCATGAAGGAAGCAGGCTCCAGGACGACACAGAGGACGAGAGCAGCAGTGAGGAAGACGAGGAGACGGAGTCCGAGGAAGAAGTTGGCATTGCCTTGCAGCTCCCGAAGAGGACCACTCGTGGGAAGGGCTATAACAGGCTGCTGAGGGAGGATCAGGAGAAAGACAGTGCGTTCTGGGGGCATGATACGTGGGCAGAGGAGAGTGGAGACGAGGAATATGACGCTGCCGCGGTAGCCGAGGCTGCCGCTGAGGCAGAAGCAGAAGAGGAGGTGGATAGCGACTTCGACGTGCCAGAAAGCGACAGCAGCGAGAACGAGCAGCAGACGCAGTCCAGCAGCAAGCGGAAGAGGCGCGACTCCGATGAAGAGGAGGCTGGCGGTCCCAGGAAGCATAAGAAGGGGGCAGCGACATTCTACCAGCTGGCGCTCAAAAGAAAGCTGCAGCAGCAGAAACGCAAGGAACGGTTGCAGCAGCAGAAGCAGAAGCAGCAGCAGCAGCAAGGCAGCGGCGGGGAGGGGCCCCCCAGAAGAATCACGTCTACCCGCACCAGCACTCGCATGCAGACCGAGTCGGTCGAAACGCAACTGCGTGTGTGCAGGCAGCAGCAAGCAGCAGCAGCAGCAGCAGCAGCAGCAGGTGGAGGGGGGGGAGCGGCAGGCACAAGCAGCAGGGAGCACCAGCAGCAACCCGAGATGTCTCAGGAAGAGCACTTGCTACTGGCAGACAAGACGGAGAAGGAGACTGCAGAGGCTCTGACTGTGCAACAGCAACACAGGGAACTGCGCCAACTCCACAAGGAGTGGAAGGGGGCCCCCTACAAGGGCCCCTATGAAATGCTCGTCTCATGGGCCTCCTATTTGCAAGTAGGACCGCCGAACGAGGACGATCAGGATGCTGCTGCTGCTACAGCTGCAGCAAAGCCTCAAGAGGAAACTACCGGACAAGACGGCATGCGAGCAGAAGAAGCGACAGTGTCAGCAGAAGGAACGGCAGCGTCAGCAGAAGGAACGACAGTGCCAGCAGAAGAAACGGCAGTGTCAGCAGAAGGAACGGCAGTGTCAGCAGAAGAAACGGCAGTTTCAGCAGCAGCCGAGGCAGACGAGGAAGAGGACTACGAAAAGGTGTTGCTCATCTTCACAGACGGACGGCTCCCCGCTGTATACGAAGCAGTACCACCAACAGGTTAGCTGGACGGCAACGAGACATGCAGGAAAAAGCTGCTTCGCGATGCCTTCCGTTCCATGTTCGTGAGTGTATGAAAGTGTGCATGTATGTGTGTTTGTGCATGTATGCAAGTGCATGTGTAAGTGTTGTGCTTGTATGTGTCTGTTCGTCCTCTGTGTGTTTGTACGTGTCTATTATGCATGTCTTTATATATACATGTATGTATGTATATATTTATATTTACTTATATGTGTGTGTGCACATGCTTTGTGTATATATTTTCATGCGCCGCCAACAGCACCTGCTCTCGATCGTGTGCGCCTTGTCGCGCTTATCAGGCTTCACTCTCTGCCTTCCATGGCTGCATGTGCTTCTGAATGCTTTCTGTGCTGCACATCTGCTGGTGATGCTGTTCTTTTCAGTGCCTCCTAAGTCTCGCTGCGCCCTTACAGGCCTGCCCGCCCGCTACTTTGACCCCTTAACGCGCTGCTTCTACTCTTCTGCAGCGGCATTTAAGGCCCTCAGAACCGCCTTTCACCGCATGCGCGAACGCGAGGTGTATAGACAACTCGTGGACCTTGACGTACGACAGGCGAACATATATACATGCATACATACATACACACACACGTGGACACATGCACGTGCACATACACATATACGTATACACACACCCGTCTCTAGATGCGTGGACAGCCCATCACATCTCTGGCCCTCTCTGTTTTGGTCTGTCCTGTCGCTGCGTGCGTAATGATTGCACTCGAAGTGTCTCCGTTGGCTCCTTCCCTCCTCTTTACAACGACGTGTTCCCTTTTGGCCCCCCTCCCGCATCACCTCCACACTAGTCTTTCCGTGAATAGCCAGTGTACTCACTTGGCCTGCACTGCACGACAGCACTGGTGAAGGTGGCTGCTACGAGGCCTTTTTTCATTTTTTGAAGTCATCAAGAAAGTGTTCAATTCTCTTTTCTTCCCGCCTACCTACGTACTACCCTTGCTGGCATCTCTCTCGCGAATGGCATCTGAAAGTCGCAGTTTGTTGTTGTCTTTGCAGCATGCCATTAAGACGCAGGAAGAGAAGATAATCTATCTCCACAAGGCAGCAGCCAGGGCCCCCACCAAAAGCTGGGAGATGATACAGGTGACGCAGGGGCCCCCGTCTTCCAGTACTCGAGGAGGGGCCCCCTCGGGAGCCCCTTACAAAAAACGAAGAAGAGGAAAAGGTGCGAGTTAGGTAGAAGACTTACGACTCTGTTGGCTTCCTGCATGGGAGCCCAAGAGTGTCGTGCGTCTTCCCCATGGTAGGTAAACTCGCAAGGCCCGTGTGTTCGGGGATGCTCAGTTGTCTACCCGCACACGAAGCAGGTCCAACAATGCATGCGTACTGCTACACGCATGCAGTACACGCCTATAAAGCTCTCTAAGGCACAACTCACGACCGCGAAGGACGCGTGCGCGTATCGGGCACAGAAAAGCCCCGTGCGAACCTCTCGGAATCCCCGATGCCGACTTAAAAGGTGTAGATCATGGGATTGAGGAATAACGAAGCCGCATGCAGCATTTAATCACGTACTAGAGGCATGAGTGCACACCTCACAGCACTCAACAGGTGCCAGCCACTGCATGCCTGCACCAGCTACCACCTCGTCACTCTCCCACCCACCCTTTTCTCAGATTTGAGCCTTTGTGCTGGAGGAAGCAACGACGCGCTGCTGCTGTTGCAGCCGCCGTCGCCACGACTTGCCGTGTCAGGTGTCGCTGCTGAGTACTTGGAAACTGCTTATGCAGTGCTATGTAAACGTGAATATGCTGCTAATGCCGTGGACGTCCAACGTACGCACAAGCTCGTGACACGAAGCACCCGGAAAATACTACCGAATCGCGAGCATGGGGAGAGGGTCAGCACGTTATTTCCATCAACTCCTTTAGACTTGGTATATAAACATACACAATGCAGTGCGCCATATGCCACCACTTAGATTTTGGGTGCTGCAATTATGAAGGGGTCGCCGCAGAAGTTGCACCAATCCCTAAGCAACCAGGAGCCGCACTATGCCTCCAGTTGCGCGGATTGCTCCTCTTGAGTGGCCTTTTCCTGCTGCTCGATCTCCTGTTGCAGCTCCTCTTTACCCTGCTTCAGCAACTCCTGCTCCTGTTGCAGCTTTTCTTGCACCTCCTCCGTTGTCGTTACGATTTGCGTGGCAACCAGCTCCTGAGGACAGGCCCTTTCCTCCCTTATGGTGTCCAATCGGGGTTGCTGCCCGTTCCATAAGCACGGTTTCCCTCCCCACTGACCTACAGTCCCAACAACAACACACACACGACCACGCAAAAAGGCGCTCGCTACAGAGGCTCAACGCCGCACGCACTGTCCAGTCACGTATGCAACAGCCGCCAAGCCAGGGTGTCAGGTCAGGCAGATCGCGAGCAGCGTTCCCAGTGTCTTGCGCCACAAATGCGGCAAATCGCGAGCAGCACGTCTCCGAGCCTCACCGCTGCGGATGATGTTGCGGCTTCGCCTCTGGATGTTATCGATGCAAGGCACTTGCCATTCGCTCCACTCTGTCAGCAGACAGTCGACGGCCTGCAGCCACAGCGGTAGCAGCAAGCAGAGCAGGATGAGATAGAAGACGCAGGCCCTTGAGGGTCGCTTATGCGTCAGCGCTCGCCACGTGCCGTTGGGGGAGAACGGAAGCTCCCCGGATAAGCCAGCATGCAGCTCTGTAACACTCCCCATCTTCAGCAGTAATATTGGAGGTCAAAGACAACTACTTGAACTTACAGCGTTGTCTTCTTGCGCCGCAGGGCGACATAGATAGAAATCAGCCTTGTGGCAGCTGCGAGGCGATGCGTGAGCATCAGCGGCCCGCAGTTTCTCCAGCTCTGTAGACGTCACAAAGACTCCTGCACGTCGCACATAACACAAGTCCAACAGCAGCCTGTCTGTTTGAGAAAAGGGGGGAGGAAAAGGGGTGCAAGACGCAGCTGCAGAACAACAATGCGCAGAGTGGCGATGAGGCGTCACAGAGAAATGGCTACAACCAGAAGGCACAGTGGGACAAATAAGTGGAATGCTTCTTTAAAAGGCAAATGCTACAAGAAGTAAAGGCCAGCATGACGCCTTTCTTACCCGGCAAGTGCTTGTACTCGAAAGAAGGGGCGTCTGTGTCTGTCTCTGCACTGCAACGTATATACACTTCGTAGTCCACGTACACTGCAAACCCCTTGAACCCATAGTCCGAAGTATCACACAGAGACCGCAGCCAGGCAGGAGCCTTAGCGGAGACTGCAGATGCGGCTGCACTCTCCTCCACACGCTTCACAAAGTCACTCTCCGAGCTGCTGTCTACCGTTGTTGTCGCTGCTCCCTGCTCGGCTGCTGCTGCTTCTTCCCTCGCAGCTTCTGCCGCCTCACGTGATGCGGCTTCCAGCTTCAGCTGCACCTCCCGCACATCCATCCAGCTGCAGAGGACGTACCCCTCCGGGCAATGACACCTAAAAATCACACCACAAGCCGTGCATTTGCACTCGGAGAAAGTAACACAACGATCAGACACACCTCCGGCAGATATCTGCCGGCCAGTCCGGTGACAGCTACAGTCGAAGGCTGAAAGACTCAAGTATTCAAGACTCCTGCGCTGGAAGCCTCGCTTATTGTTTGTGCCCGCCCCCCTCGCAGCACCTGGCTGGCTGCCATGCAGTTGCAACACAGATCGAGGCTGTGCGTGCTGGCAACTGCAGCTGGTGCTGCCGCTATAGAGAGAGAGAGAGGGAGATGCATCATGAACACATGCCCACCGATCTCTGTCGCCTTCTTCCGCTGCAAAGATGATGCAGCTATTTCCATCAAAGTCGAGGGGGATGGCCTCGCTGCTTTTGCTGCTGGAGACTTGCATGCGAACGTCATCACTCTTATCAGAGTCACCACTCTCCTGCTCCCCATTCCGCCGCTGCTGTTTTTGTTCTCTGGCTGCCTCTTCCAGCTCCCGCTTAACCTCGGGCACGCCACTCTCCTCAGGCTCGTCGGTGTAGGAAGCAGCAAAAGGGAGACCTGCTGAGTTGTCGGCGTCATCATCTGCAGCTGCTGCTGCTCCTGCCGCGAGCAAGAAGACACAAAGCCCCAGCCATCCGGGGTGGAGGCCCCTAACCCCCATCTTCGAGGGAAAAGGGGGAGTAATACGAGCAGGTCCAGTCACAAACACACAGAGAGCAACCAGGAGCAGCAAAGCATGCAGCGTTGCAGCCCTCCCGCAGCGCTCAACGGCTGCTTTCGCACTGGCCTGGGAGGTGCGGCAAGATCCTCACAGACTCAAGGAGCCCTCCCTGTACAAGCTTTTGCTGTTGCTCCCGATGGCTCAACAACAACACTGACCGAGGATACCAGGCTACCCCTACTGCTCCTGTCTCTCTCCCCCATGCAAAGAGGGAGAGAAGTACCACGAAGAGAGCCAAGTTGACTCGCTGAAATACAAAAGGGAGTCTGCCAGCCCCCCAGGATCCTCGTCATAAGGCTGCGGCCGCTCGGCAACTAGCTAGGCCAGCCGCAGAAGGTTTGTCGAGCTTCTGCTCTTCCTACTGCCGATGTCTCCTTTAGAATAATGGAAAAACCAGTTATTTCGCCAAAAACCCCGTATGCTTCGGGGACAGCGCTACTTTTGCTGCTGCTAAACTGTAGCCACCAGTCGCTGCTGCTGCTCTGCTGCAAGGTCCCACAAGAGACTTCTGCGTACAGCAGCAGCTGTAAGGTGGGAGTGGTGGTGATGCTGCTGCTGCAGCCGCTACCACTAGACCCGCGAAGCAAATCGCTTTCTACTATAGAATCGGATTCTGTAACGATTTTGCTTTATTAGGAGAAGGCCCGGGGGATATGCCCAGCCGGCCGCATCCAGTGGCAGCACGCTGCTGCGGCTGTTTGCAGCAGCAGCAGCAACTACAGCAGCAGCAGCAGCAGCAGCAGCCGCAGCAGCAGCAACAGGCTGCTGCTCCGGCTGCTGCCTTTGTTGAGGGCACCTTTGTGCTCCTGGCATTAACTGTCTATGCTTCCTGTGCAGCAGCAACCGCACCATCGGCAGCGAACTCACCGTCTGTCTTTGCTGCCGCGCCGGATCAGCAGCCAGTGCACCCGGCCACGCGACTGTAACACTAATCCGCAGTCTACCTCGGGATACATACATTATTTCATCCTCTGGCGCCTCTTTTTCCTTATCTGCTCGCTTTCCGCGGTGGGGGGCCCCTGCACCGGCAGCAAGAGCAGCAGCTGCTGCACCCCCTGCTGCTGCTGCTGTATCAGCCGTGTTTGTGAAGCTTCAGGGTCCAAGTGCTAAGCCGACGAGGCTCCGCGTGCAGCAGCAGTTTCTGCTGCACCTCCCTGCAGAGCAGCCTTACAGGCACAGCAGCAGCAAGGGGAGAGTCGCCTCCCCCCGCTGCATCGCCGTCCTCTTCCCTGTCGCCTCTGCAGCCCTAGCCGCAGCAGCCTCTCTACACCACAGGCGCCACCCCATCATGGAGTCGAGCATCCGGGGGGTCGCACCTCCAGCGGCTGGGGAAGATTCTCAAGGCAGCAGCGGTGACCTTAACCCCAGCCAGAATGAGGAGCTCTCGGATCTCACAGGCAGTGACCTCGAGGAAGATGTACGCCTCTACTAGGTTTGAGGTGTAGGGCCCTAGTCTCGCCTTTGGGGATTCTTTCTGTCTGGCTTGTTTTCTCTAGTTTTGCGAGAACTCTGCTGTGGGGAGAAGCTCGTCGTTGTTTGGCGGAATAACGAGAAACAGCGGCACGGGGCTGTCTGCTCTTCACGGGTGCTTCCAGTGGGTTTCAGCGCTTTCTGCTCCGCGACTGAAGGCTTTGGTGTTATCAGTTGTGTCTGTGAGGAGTTTTGTGGTGGGCATGTCGAGCAGATGACGTGGATAGAGTGGTTTTGCGGGCTCAAGGGGAACGAGATGTTTGTGTTTGTGGACGAAGACTTCGTGCGGGATGATTTCAACCTCACCGGTAAGATTGAAGCCACCTTGCTCTCCCTCCTGATTCGCTGAGCCTCTTTCTTTTTTCTTTTTTTTCTCCTTTGCATGTATGCCGCATGTATCGGCTTTCTCGTGTCTCGGCGGGTTCGCTCCTGCAACGCTCCGGCCGTCAGCAGTAGTAGGTGGACGTCGTAGTATGGGCTTCCCTAGGAAGTCTGCTTCTCTCACCGCCTTTAAGCGTCCTCCTTTTGAGTGGTCACAATGTGCGAACTGCCAAACTGTATCCGGGGGTGTTGTTTGTGCGTTCCTTCGCCCGCTGCTGTTGGGGTGCTGCCTCCGCAGGCCTCTCCACCCAAGTGCCATACTACGACAAGGCATTGTCATTAATTGTGGAAGGCGACCTCTCGGATGACAGTCCTTCGGATTCCGTGTCTTTCGCGTATATTGAGAAGAGTGCGGCCCTCCTCTTTGGCTTGATTCATGCCCGCTTCATCCTCACCACCAAAGGTATGGCGAGAGCTCCTCGCCACTCCCTCCGCCTCCTGCAACAGCGAGCTCCTGGGAAGCTGCTGCCGGCAAAACGAGGAACACAAATTTTTCCGTAATACAGGTGCTGACATGTTTGCCGTGTATCAGTCATCTGGCTCCATAAGGCAGACACACTGAGGCCTTGCTTGTCGCCCCCGTCCATCGATCCACCGAGCGCACACATTTTGCCACATTCTCATCAAGTCCTCCCCCCTCACAACAGTGCCTGCCTGCCGTGCCGCCTCGCAGAAAAGCTAGACGCACGTACATTATATCCGTCCGTATATGGTTGCACCCAAAAAATGCATGCACTTTGGCATGCACAGGAGGGTCGCCCTTCGAGGTGCCACCCCCTCAAAGTATCCGTTTGCCTTCTTTTCGCTCTCTAGGCCTCCGTCTATGGCTAACTGAGCAATTGACAGCTTCCTGTGCCAAGTTTCTTGTCCATCTTTTTCTGAGGATGCATGCATGTGTATATGTATGTCTATATGTGTGCATGTGTATATGTATGTTTGTAGATGTGTATATCTGTGTGCGGGGTGTGCCATAATCAGCTTTTCTCGATCGCAAAAAGCGCCCTAGATACGCCGCCGTTTGGCTGTGGCGAGTGTTCCTGCATATTGTTGCATGCCTCCTGCCTGTCGGTGTTTGCGCGTTAGGTCTAGGCCTCCTGCAGCAGAAAGTTGCCGCTCAGGCGTACGCGAAGAACTGCCCGAACGCGCTGTGCGACTTTGCCCATCTTGTTCCTTGCGCGCTTACTGACACGCCGAACCTGCACACCGTGAAGCTGTTTTGTGCAAGATGCAATGTGAGTTGCCTCTGTCTCTTTTGCTCGGTCCTCGTGCCAGTGGCTCCAGGGGCTCCTCCTGCCGCGTGGGGAACATGTGCTGAGAAGCTTTTTTCGGATGCCGCTTTGTGTGTGACCGTGGCTGGTGGCGAATACTGCCCTTTCGTAGTATGAGCGAATCGCGCTTTTTTCCCTGATGCGTGTTGTGCGGCCCCTGGTTTTAGGAGCTGTACCACCCCCCGCGTTCGTCCTATCTAAATAATATAGATGGGGCCTTTTTCGGAACTTCTGTCGCTTCTCTCTTCTTCATGGCCTATCCGCAAATGCTGCCTTCCAAGCCTCCCACAGCTCCCCTAGCGGGGGCCGGTGTCTCTCAGCGCGGCAGCGGCACCAACAGCGGGGAGAAGGAAACGGAAGGGGCTGCGCCTGCGGGCCGTGGCGATACAGGCACCAGCAACAGCACCCCCGTCTATTACATTCCCAAGATATTTGGATTCAAAGTCCATCCAGACAGCAGGAAGCTCATTCAAGAGCGAGAGGAGCAAAACAGGAAGCGTCAAGCTATGCTGGCTGCGGCGGCGCCGCCAGTCGCTGCCGCTACGGCTGCTGCTGCTGAATTGCAGCAGCAGCCGCAAGAAAGCGACAAGTGGTACGCTCCCGGGGCAGGCGGGGCCCCCCAGCAGGTCGAGAGCAGGGGCCCTGCGGGGGCCCCTGCTCAAGGGCCTGTGGGGCCCCCTAGGCCGGCGCGGCCCTCCAGGGCCTGAAGCGGGCGCAGTGTGCCATTGGTACCGCCTGTAGGACTGACCGAAGGGGGTGCGGGAAGGAAGGCGCTCCTGCGGCTGAAGGGGCTTAAGATAGAGATACAGCCTTAAGGGGCAGGCAGGGGGTCTTCCAGAAATCATGTCAAACCCTAGAAAGGAAAAGGGGGCAGCAAGAGTGCAGACAGGGGGCTGCTTCGGAGTCAGAGCAGAGACGCAGTGCAGAGAGAAGTTGCAGAGGTCTTTGGGCAGACGTTGAGGTGGCAAATTGTTCTTTCGGCGCATAGCACTAATTGCCATGCCCTTGAGATTGAGGACTGTTGATACGCGAGACGTGCCAGTACACCACCAACCAGGAATTTCTCTCGTGAGTGGTTCTTCGCAAATCCGGCTCAAACGCTCGTCGGGTTATGTGCCACGCTACGTAGGGTATTCGGCCTTTGAGCTCTTCCAGCGAGCCACAGTCGATGCTGTGAGAGGAGCCTCCTGGGGCAGATGTGGGTTTTACTGCCTAGCTGCAGATGCATCGACCTGCCGCTGCGGGGAGCAAGAAAAACGCAGGCCCCCCAACGTGAGTGCACGCGGAGGCGCTGTCTACCATCAGGAATGGAGTGCAGTGCAGGAGCTCTCACGTCGATGGACACATCCACCTTGCACCTGTGGGGTAGACTCTTCCAAAGCACCAGGAATCAACTCGCTCCTCGACCTTCGACTTTAGCAGAAGTTCCCCGTTTGGCGTGCAGCTGGAACTCACAAGAGTGTTTTCTGCAGGTTTTGCACTCTTGGGTGTTCCCACAGGGGTTCGGCTAGGGCTCTTAAGGATCTGTTGCGGACCCTAATGTAAAGTTCATTCCAAGGCCTCTGTAGGTAGACACTTAACTTTAGACTTTTAAATATTAAAGGACAGTTATGGAGTGCTTAGCAAACGCACTCGCGCCTTCCCTTCCTCGCACCCCCAGACTTCAAACTCAAAGAGAGGGGGACACAGCTACGGTGCCCGTTGCTGCATCCTATAAGCGCTCCATGCGTTTACAGCTAGCTGCGTAGAGCATATAGCGTGCATGCACACAACACTGCATTCTTTTGTATCGGGCGAACAATAGTCTGCGATTGACCAGGTCTGCCAAGAGCAAAACCAAGTAGTCAATTCTTTACAGGTTCTTAGTAAACTAACTTGGGTAGTAGAAAGTATCTAGGTGTTGCTTGGTTCGCTAAAGTTCCGCTCCCTATTTCCAAAAAGACGCCCTTGTGATTTGTATTTGTACGTCGAGACGAACTGCATGCAAGACAGCCAAAGGGTTCCTACCCCATAACCACCACCCAGGCAGGTGAAAGGGCAAAAATATTGCAGGTTGATAGACAAAACTGGGCGCCAACCGTTAAAGAGAATTAGGATGAAAGAAACACGCACTACCCAACAACGAACGAGGGGCTCAAACAGCACAACCTTGGCCGAGCGATGGATAATTGTTGGTGGAGCATTAGGATGTGTGAGCCTCGTAATTCGTAAACGGAATGAAAATACACACCGGCTTACCAGTGCCTTTATGTCCCTAGAGCAATATTTGCTGGATGTAAAGACAGCCAGTGCATGTGATTTAGTCGAGTTCAAAGGGCAAAAGAAGGCCTGTGGAAGAACATAGGGACAGACTACCTGTGAGGGGCTAAGTATGAATCTGAGCATGGAGAACACCCTAACAACATCAATTGGGAGCTTTCCAAGCAACACCCTTGGATCAAGGTAGCAACTTCACCCAGAACATGGGCTGAGGAAGGGCAATCACCAAGGAACGCGATGAGTATCATCCATGGCAACTGGCGTTGCTGGCCAAGCTGAGCAGCGAATTGCTCTGCAGGCAACGAAGCCTGCAAGTGCTTCTATGTTAACGACTTATGGTGGCGTTCCCACCCCCGTACAACAGAAGCTTGTAGGGTGCCCTCGACGCTCAACAGTCCCAGACATCAGCACTTCTAGGGCTCCCAGTAGATCTTCCGCCTCTCATCCGCCTCCACACGTAACACTTGCCTACATAGCAAAACCCTCGAGCGATGCGGAACAACAATGACTCGTGAGAAAATCAGAAATGTTCGAAGTCACCTGGCCGCAAGCTTGTTCTTTTGGTCGCCTTTTGGTGGACCTAAGAAAGCCTGCTCAGCCACCAGGATCAAGTCTCCAGGCTTGAGACACACGCCTATCGCCGCTTACCATAGCTTCATGCTTGTGCTTCTTGAATTTTGCGCATACACTCGCGTACACAAACCAGCTGTTTTCTCGATGATCCCTTGTACCTGTTAAGGGTGGCTGGTGACTCCGGACCACCGGTACAGGCCTAGATCGGAAAGAGGCTCCTCGGTGCAGGCCAGCGATGCAGCGGAGCAAACAGTGGACAAGTGTACTGCTGTATTACAAATTTGTTCGTCACAGGAAAACGAATCATGTCAAGCAGTCGGTTCGTGAGCGCAGAATCATAAACATGGGCAGCGAGTACGGCGGGTGCACTTTATGTGCCCATCTGTTTACACTGATTCTCAGTGGTAACCCTATAGTCAATGTGCACGTCCACGCCAGAATGCACTACCGAACTTTGGGAACCTATCCCTGTTGGTTCTTTTTTTAAGATCCGTGGATCTTACAAACATAAGGAGAAAATAATTGAGCGACTTGTTGAGTCGTGACAGAACTGGCGCGAAGCATAAAACGGGCATATTTGTTGTGTGTATCAACAAAGGCGTAAAATTTATCCTGACCCTTGCGCCCCAGTAGTCCAAGAATAAAATTCATAATAACAGCAGTGTGCATCACGTAGAAATTGAAAGGATTTGCAAAAGGCGTGGTCCAAGAAATTTCGGTGCTACCACTGCCTACAATCTGGGCATAGTGCATACTCCCGTGCCAGGGAGGGATTCTAGGCCACCAGAAAGGGTGTGAGAGCCTTTCGAATGCATTAGGGGCCTTATCATGGTCAGAGAGAGCAACATTATCTGCTTCGCGCCAAGTCACGTTGCGGATAAGTTGAAATGTACAAGCAAAGGAGTGCCCGCATCGTTTTGAACCCCAGCAATCATAGTCAACGTGACAGTTCTTCACCCCTTGCCATTCTGGATTTCGGGAACAGTAGCTGATGCACCGATATCAAAAACACAAGACTTATGCAGTTGAGATCAAAACTGTCAATCATAACAGACAACAGCAATTGTGGTACACAATAGGGAACTGCTAAGGCGTCCCAACAGCGGGTTCGCGACTTCATGAGTGCTGTTCCAAGTACACTTTACTGTAGAAGCATAGTAGAAGAGGGGTCAGATCAGAGGACCAGTTCGGGTTTATCAAAATATTGAAAGCTCTTCGTGGAGTACATCAAAGGCTGAGGGTCGGTCTAGACAGCAAAATGACACTCGAATAAAATGTGTAGGGAATTGTGGATATCCCTCCATGTCGTGTAGAATTCCTCTTCCCGCACTGGACACCGTTATTCGGTTATCGTGAAGCGATTAGAATAACAAGCAATAGTTTGGCGCTCTGGATAATCCGTAACCTGTTAGCATATTCCATCGTCTACCGATAAGTCAGATGCATTGGCTATGAGGAAAAAACGAAGCTCATAAGCGGGCAGCCCACGTACTGGCGGAGCTGCAAGGCAGCCAATAATCGTCCTTACTGCAGCATCAGCCTCCTGTGTATAGGTCGGACTGGGCTTTCTCAAGTACACTAGCCAAAGGGCATCGGTATGGACAGTCTAAAAATAAACTTCTGCAAGCCCAAAGATATCCTCGCCGTCCTTATGGGTGTGTAGCGCTGAAGGCCGTGCCTTGTGTACTCGAATTTACGCTAGTTTTGGGCTAAATTTCTGCAGCCACAACACGGTGAATGCTACAAGCACCGTTGATATCATGGAAAACAAGTACTTGTGTGCCTCCAGAGATCGCTGCTTGTTCCTCATCTTTGAAGCACACGCCGTAGTTGCTGAAAAACCTGTTGAGCGGTTCGGCCGAAAGGCAAGATGGTCTCTGTGTAGAGGATAACCAACCCTGCTTGGAAGGTTCAGTGAAATCTGGAATACCCCCGGTAGACTCAGCCTAGAGCAACAACAATTTCCAGCAAAATACATGTACACTAAAGGTTGCCAGTGCCGGTGCGGACCGCTGTTTCTTTCCGTCATAAGGGTGGATAGGAATCTGTGAGAAGGCGTGTGTATAGTCATGTGTCAATATGGTTGTTAAATCGTGTGGTTTGTCAAGGACTTCGGCACTCTGAGGCAGTGGAGGCTTTTGGTCTACAGTGAAGTTGTTCAGGGGCTTAAAATATTAGTACCTGCTCTAACTATAGTTCTTTTTCAGCACCGACACCTAGCTGCACCCAAAACGCATTGCTTTCTTCAAGCAACTGACCTTTTTACAACAAGTCATCCGCTGGACACCGAACATACTTTCGTGATGTTGGGGTTTTGACTATGCGGATCATTACTTGAGCCTGACCCGGTGGTTATGTTGGTGACGTGCGCTGGACGACCAACAGTTGGCCAACCTGCTGGCAGCTCGTTACTATTGAGCGAATCCACTTGTTGCCCCTCTATATTTGCCCATTTCTCATCTTACTGGGCTGGAAGCTAAATAAAGTTCTCTCATAACGAACAGGTGGAGAGCCAGTAAAAGGCATGCATGCTCAGAACCGTATTCTCATAACGCTCTGGTGAGCCACCCGCCAGAAGATTCTGGCTCACCAAGTTAAGGCGCCGACTATACCCCGCTCACCACAGATAAAAGAAATATTGGTTTGCACACAAATGTGTGGCTCTACCTAGCGTGTCCTCCCGCATTAACATCCAAAGCGCGCAGCTCCGGCCACATGCTCACCATCCATAGGCTCGACCAGGGCATAGCTAGGACAAAGTAATGGCAGACGAATCCAACATCGAAATCACGGACCATGCTAACAGGACCGATTCCGATCTCAAGTGGCATTTATCTGCCGAAGCCTTGAAGAATCTTTACATTTCGACACCCGTCAACACACCTAAGTCACAGGGACTCTGCTAGGGAGTGAACAATTATATTGCACTTCTTTGCCTTTTCCTCGGGTTAAACTTCACTTTACGCCCAGCTTCAAGTAGCGTTAGCAATCCTTGAGCACTTACATAGCATATATTGATGCAGAATTGACCCGTGGTAGGTCCCCAATGGCGGCTCTATCCTTTGGACACCCTTCATTGCATCGCATCCTACGTTGGGGTCTTTAATTTTCCTGATGTGCTTTCTTTACCAACTAGCGGGGTGCCTTCCTTGTGCTCATTCCTCAGGGTTCTCTTTTAACCAAAGACGCAGGACTTGCGCCCAATTACTCCTTAAATATCCAGTAGTTCATCGTTGGCGGAAGCACCATCGGTCCCTTGCTCAACATCTTTGTCGCTGCCCATTCTACAACCACTTGGCATGATACTTCGAGTATGACTAAGAAGCCCCTGATCAGGCAGCTGTTCGTCTGCGCAATGGCTTTCGCCAAACAGAGTTTCATATATCGCGATATATCGATCTATTTTGCTTCCCCTTTCAGCTTTCCCAATTCTACCAAAGCTTGCTGTTGAGCGGATGTTGGAGTAAGCCGATGAGTCAGGGCTTGTGGCACAGGATGTCTTCTACATGAATAGATCCTCCTGTGAACTGCTTCACCTTCCAGCAGACCTGCTCCTAAGGACACCACGTTCTCTGTGTCCAGGAGGCACAATGCGAGGAACATATCAAACACCCTGATAAAATCTTCGATTGTTTACCCATCTTCGCGGATGCCATTCCTTTCTGGTCGACATAACCTCATTAAAGCATCCGTAACCCTTATATCGGCTTATAACCTGTACCATCCTACCGCGCATTAGCTATTGCGTTGACCTTGCCTGCTGAATGTTCTGCAGAAGGGTTCCCACCCTGCCTTGCCCAAGCGCCTGAAGAGTTCGTGCATGAAGGAAGACGGGCAGCTGCAATGGCTGTAGCTCCGCTTCCGCAACACTACGAGCACTCACAGCTAGTTCCACGTAGCAAATAGCACACATGCACACACAAATTGCGTCCTCTTCAATCAACCATACAGTGCTCTACGATAAGATATACGAACAGCCAAACCAAATAGTCAAAATTTTGGAGATTCTTAATTAAATACGCCCAGTCTAATAGAAATAGCATTGGTGTGCCTTAGCCCGCTCCACCGATGGCGGGTCCACCCTCGTCACCCGGAGGGGAACTGCCAATAGGCGTCCTTATGAAGTCCGACGTAGCGTTTCTGACGGACAGCTCCTTTATAAGAAAAGGAAGGGGATTTAGGAAAGATGGCATATCAACGGGCGTTCACAGTTTATGCAAATATTTGAGGTCAGTGTCAGGAGCAGCTGCTTAGCTGTGCTTTTGGGGTCAGGGCTGACGTGCAAGTCTCAATGGTACTAGCAACTTAGCAGTGCAGCACGTGTCAGTTGGTTGAATTCTCATTGCTGGCCGCTGACGCAGTACTTCCTCCTGCTTGAGCGCACGGGCGGACGGCTGTGAGCTACATGCGTCTTCAATGCATTGTCATAGCCCCACACCCCGATTGCTTGACTGCGCCGAAAAGCAGGCTTTATGCTGCTAGCGCAGAGGCCGTTCAGTGGCAAGGGGCTTCTCACGCCTGCTTTAATCCGCTGCTCGCAATACCGGCAGCACCAGCCTAAAGCGGCGCACTCCAAAGCAGGCTGCTCTGCAAGACTCGCAGCGATAGCGTAGCGAATAATTACGATCAAAAGTCCGACTTATGATGCACAACAACCGTGTGGAAAGCGCATCGATTATCTGCCAGGCAGACAGCAGCAAGCGGGGTACACAAAAGGAGCAAGAGTTGCAGCTGCTGCGACTGGTGCGGCTGCGGCCGTCGCTCCATCCCTTTTTCTATGTTCCTGCGGCAGAGTCTGGGCCTTATTATTCTAGGAAGGCAGAAGTGTTGATGTTGCAGCATACACCTCGGACTATTCAAGGCATCAGCCACACGAGCAGCACAGGCAGCAGGGCCAGTAGCAGCGGCTGCTGTTGCTGCAGCCGCTGCATGCCCTTTCGTTGCGTCTATTGCACAACAGGGTCTCTGGGTCTCCATTTGATTGCTGGTCTCACAATTAAAAGAAGTATCTCGGTTACAGACGTTCCAGGCGCTTCGGTCTGCGTACCTCTGCTGCCACTGCTACCGTCCCGTTAGCTGAATATTTAGGATGTAGGGATTAGGGTCTAGCAGTTAGACCGAAACGAAAGAGCGGCAGCCATTGATTTCTGTACTGTCGCTGTGGTACTCTTTGCATCTATTGGCCCCTTAAAAGGGGGCCCTTCCCACTCAACAGTCGCCCCGCAGCCGCGGTAGCGTCATCAGTACGTACAGGCTATTGCTGCAGCTGGTGCATCTCTTCCGACGTTGGGGTCTCTTTCCCCGCTCTCTCCCCTCTCTCTGCCGTCCACCAACTTCTTGCCCCGCAGATCGCCAACCTCCACCTTCCACGGCTGCTGTTGCTGCTACAGAAGGCCAACACTTTGTGCTGCACTGTAGCGGTGCCTCCGCAGCCAGCGGGGGATCTCTGTCGCGTGTATTGTGTCCTCTGCTTACGGAAGCAGTCGCAGCTCCCTGCACGCCGGCTCCGTGCAGCTCCTCGTGGCGGGGTGTCGCCAGCCGCTGCGAGCGGGTGGAGGGGGGGATCACTGCACCTACACCACCGGCAGCGGCGGCAGTGTCTCGTGAGGGGGTAGGGCAGCAGCACGGCGATAGGAGCTGCTGCTGCTACCCCGCCTTCTGTGCATGAGGGAGATGGGTAGGGAGCTGCCCCTCTTCGGCCTCTGCATCTTTGTGTCGGTGCCGATCACGCTCGCTGGCGGCTCCCCCTCTGCCGCCGACGCCTCCCTCTGCGTGCCGCGTTATACAGAGCCGCGAAGGCGCAATGAGACGGGCTACTAAGGCAGCTTTCTCTTCGCCTCCCGATGTGCTGTCTGAGGCCTCTGCTTCTCAGGAGCGCACGCAGCAGGAGGGCCGGCCGCAGCAGCGGCCCCTGCTGGAGCTAGCCGGCGCATGCGGCTGCTGCAGGGAGATGGAGGGGAGTGCGGCAACTGCAGCAGCGACTTCGGCTGTCGAAGAAGCAGCGCAGACAGAGGCCTCAGCTTCTCTGGCGCATTCAATGGATTCTCTTTCTCTGAGGGCGGCCCCCTCCGTGCTGGCTGCGCCACCGAGCCGCCCCTCGGAGGGCACCTCCTCGGGCTGCTGTGATAGCGGCAGCCTCAACGAATCGGATGGCGGAGAATTCAAGGAAGCCCTTCTTCACAGATCTGCGTCGGGAGCAGCGGAGGTGCAAGCCGTGAGGCCTCGAAGTACGCGGTCGCGTAGCGACTGCCCAGAGCCTGTGGCTGCGCTGCAGCAGAGGCTTTCTAGCAGTGCCACTCCCGAGCGCCTCCAGGCAGCCGCTGCTGCCACTGCTACTGCCGCTGCCACTTCCGCGCGCGAGGGGGAGGAGGAGCACCAGCAGCGCTCTTACGGCCTTGGAGGATTCCTCAGGAGGCCTGATAGGAGGCTGAAAACGGAGCCCCCTAGGCCTCAAGGCGGCGCGAGTCTCCTGCAGCGCTTCATTCGCTCCTTCAGCAGGAGCAGCAACGAAATCCGTGCGCCCCAGCCTGCTGCTGCTGGCGCCGTCCCCTCGGCCTTGCTCCAGCAGGGGCAGCCGCCACACGAAAAGCAGAGAAGGCCTCATGCTGCCGAGACGAGCATCCACAGCGGAAGCAGTGCGCGTTCGGGCACAGGCGGGATGAGGGGGCAGCATCGCAGGGCAGCTGGTTCTTCCCGGGGGGCCCCCCAGTCACAAGGCCAGGGAGTTTCCGCGGCGTCTCTTGGAGTGACAGTTGCGGCCATGCGCGTATCGGATATGGGGGGGATTCATATTGAGACAGGCAGCGGTGCCTCAGACAGCAGCTCGGTGCCGCTGGTAGGAGGCGGCATCCGGGGGGGCCCCCCTGGAGATTCGCAGTGGGCCTCGGCCGTGTGCGGCGGCAGGGGGCCCTACCATGGGGGCCTCCCTCTCCGAGCCAATTCGGAGGCGGGCAGCAGCATGAGCATGAGCATGAGCAGCAGCAGCAGCAGCAGTAGTAGTAGTTGCGTAGGCGCGTCCGTCTACACAAAGGGTTCTCTTGTGGGAACACCGCCGATCGCGGGGCCTAGTGGTCTTACAGACGCATCAGGCGGAGGTTCTTATTATTACTATGGCGAGGTGCGCCGATCAAAGCGTCATGGCTGGGGTTTGTTAGCGAATGAAGAGAGGCTGCTCTTCGAGGGGCAGTGGCAGAATGACACAGTTCTTGGTTGGTATATTTGCTATCATGAACTTGCCACCGAATTTGGGTTCCGCGAGCTGAACGAGGTGTGTGGCGTCTCGGTGCTTAGCGACAGCGACTTCTTCATTGTTCCTGTGGGTGGACAGCAGCAGCAGCAGCAGCAGAAGCAGCAGCAGCAGAAGCAGCAGTATCCGCAGCAACAGAAACTCGAGCTGCAGAAGCAGCAGTATCCGCAGCAACACATGCGCCAACAGCAGCAGAGCAAGCACGAACAGCAGCTGGGCTTGAGGAGGAGTCGTAAGTGCAGCACTCTGGCTGCCACATCATCCTCTGCTGCTGCAGCGCCAGCAAACAGCCCCGGCGGCAGCAACAGCAACACAGGCAACAACTGCAACGCCAACAGCAGCGGGATGCCGGAGGTACGTCGCGGGAAGCAGAAGCATTTCACGATTCACGCAGCCTCCGCCTTCACGATAATGGTCACGGATATGGAGGCTCTCCAAGATGAGGATGGCGGAGGTGGAGGACTCCTCAGGTTGAATAGCGCAGGAAGCTCCTGCCCTCCTGCTGCTTCTACGGCTCCTGCTGCTGCTTCTACGGTTTCTTCTGCTGCTGCTTCTACGGCTCCTTCTGCTGCTACGGGGGGTGCCCATTCGCGGCAGATGCGACAGGCTGCAGCGGCAGCAACAGCTGCAGCGGCTGCTGCGGCAGCGGCTGCTGCGGCAGCTGCACACGAAGCTGGCCTGTTGCGGGGTGCCCCGAGCACCAGTGACAGCAGTAGGTGCAGCGTGGCGAGCTGCCCAGATGCAGGCATGATGCAGCAAGGCGTGGCGCAGCGGCAGCAGATGGATCAGGAGGAGGACGAGGGTTCAATGAGTCATGGAAGAGTTTCCTTCTCTGACTTGCCCAGCGACGCGGCGTCATCATTGATGCAGCGTGAGGGGAGCGGCTCCGTAGAACGGGGGAAGGGGCCCCTAGAGGACCACGAGGCCAGGGGCGACGCGGCCGAGGGGCCCTCCGCTTCAGAAGCTCGAAGTTCTTTGCGCAGCACCCGTCGAACGCAGACGTGCGTCAGTGGAAAGAAAACTGCGGCCGCGGCAGCTGAAGCGGCGGCAGCAGAAGCAGCAGAAGCAGCAGCAGCAGCAGCAGCAGCATGCGCAGATCCATCCGATGCGGCAGCAGCCGAAGCAGCGGCCGCAACAGCCCGCCGTCGCTTGTATAGGAGGGGAGCCACATTCCCCGAGTTCACGACGCAAGAGAACTTGGCGGCCGAAGAGACACCCTTATGTGAAGGTGTGCGTCGGGGAAGCAGCAAACGAGGCACGCTGACGCCTGGAGTTGCGGGCTCTCCTTGGGGGGGAGCCCAGCCGTATTTGCGCGCCTCCGATTGCCACAAGTGGTCCTGTATAACGCTCTCCTACTTCCTGCGGCTTCTGGGCATGCAGCACGAGGCGGTTCTGTTCAAACGAAACAGAGTCAGCGGGAGCGACATCCCTTCGCTTGGCGATGCCGAGCTCAGGGCTGTGGGCCTGAAGGACAGGCACACACGGTGCTTTCTGCTCAGTGTATTCCGCTATCTGTGGTCTTGTACGGACCACAGAGACCCCCTTATGCCTCATAATCGGCGACACCTCAAGCAGATGAGCGAGAGAGTGCCGATCATCGCGTCCTCCGCAGTCTCGGTCGGGCCTTGCGTTGGCGGGGGCGGCTTTGCCGCGGTTCACAAGGCTCGGGTTAGGGGGGCCCCTCATATGGGGTCCGCTACGGTGGCTTGCAAGATCTTCAGGTACAACCCGAGGCCTACTGCAGTGGCGGCAGCGCTTACTGCAAAGCCCTTGCTCTCGAGAAACCCCCAGGGGGCCCACCACGGAGGCGGCCCTAGACAGCAGGCCGCTCCCTTGAGTGGCAGCAGGTCGTCAGAGGCAAGCAGCATCTCCTCCGTATCACAGGATTTCGCGGGAGGCCTCCATGGGCCGTATGCCGCCGGGATCTCGCTGTGGGCTCAGAATCAGAGTCCTCTCATTCCGTACAGCCAGCAGACGGAACCCCCTTCCGACATTCGGACAAAGCAAGGGGGGCCCCCCCACTTCGTCAGCGACGGAGGGCCCTGGAGCGGTGGTTCCCTCAGCGCCGAAGGCACTGGAAGGAGGCCTTCGACGCCAAGGGCGGGAGGGGGGGGCCTCTCAAGCCCCTCCGCCGAAGGGCCCCTTAAAGGGGGGCGTCGCCACGAGAAGGAGAGTCCTTCCTTGCTGATGGCACCCAGCCCTCCGCTTCGAGGGCCTTCGAGCATTTGCAGCACGAGCCAAAGCAGCGCGAGCGACATGGCGTGCAGCGGGGAGTCTCGCTTGTTTCTGGAAAGCGGAGACGGCCGGTCAGAGGGCCGGGGGGAGACGGCGCACCACACGGTGTTCGGAGGCCCCAAGGCGGTCGCTTCCGAAGGGGGGCCCCCCCCAAGCGGCTCCTCGCAGTTTGCGTGGGAGTGGCATATTGCGCGTCTGCGGAACGTGGATTTCTTCCGGTACTGCCCTCGGCCTGTGAAGCATCGGGACCTGGAAGCCGATATTCTGAGTGTGCTGCAACCCCACTCAAATGTGGTATCGGTTTACGGCAAGTGTTCCTTAAGGCCTGGAGAGGAGGCCTTGCTGATCGAGTACTGCAGTAGAGGGTCTCTGGATGCCCTTATTTTTCCGGGGGCGTCCCTAGGGGGGGGCCCTGGAGCCGCGCCTCTGCGAAGGGGCAAGCGGAGGGCCCCTCTCACCAGGCCGGAGATCGTGCGGCTGTTTGAAGAAGCGGCAGCCGGCCTCGCACACGTGCATAGCTGCAACATCCTTCACCGAGACATCAAACTGAGCAACATCCTCGTAACCGAAACAACTGCCAAGGTACGTGACAGTTCGACAGGTATTTGTGCTAGGCCAGCGAGTGCCAGAAAGAGGGCTTCTGCCGTGGCCAGTCTTCTCCATAGTTGCTTTTGCGCCAAACTGCCTTCAACCTGCTTCCAGGAGAGCCCCTCATATTGTGTCGTGGGAGTTGCTGCTCAGATAGCGGACTTTGGAGTTGCGACGGCGTTCGTCCCGACCGACAGCCCCTCAGTGCTCGGTCTCTTTGGCAATGTCTTCTACGCGGCTCCCGAAGGTACACCAGAAGGCATAATTTAAGCTGCTGCTCCGTTTGTGGGCGGCTAGAAAGTCGTTTCGCTGTTTTCCCTACGTATCGCCAAGCTGTGTTTTTGGCTGCTGTAGACAGCCGGGCAGGACGACGAGCTGCACGGATGCGGTAGTTGGGGGAGTGATGTTGCATGCGCCCTCGTCGGGGAGAAGGCTAGGGGAAAGGACTGCTGTACATGCGGATCTTCTGGCTTGCGCCTATTACTCGCGATACCTCCTTGTAGCAGTCATCAATCTGTGTATCGTCGCGTATGGCTTGCTGCAGTGCTCCGTGGTGAGGGCTTCTTCCCGGCTTCGGACGTGTGGTCTTTCGGCGTTGCCTTCTGGGAGGCCCTAACAGGACAGATGGCTTTTGACGGTTAGCGCGCTTCTTTTGTGCTTCCTGCGGATGTTTATTGTTGCCTCTCTTCAGCGTCGGTGTGTTTCCGTTGGGTGCTGCGCTTCCAGTGCCCCACCCTCTGGTGCGCTGCAGCTGCTTTTCTCCCCACTCTTCAGGCGTGCGTGCTGACTGGTGGCAGGGTATTGGTGCTGCTGTGTTGGATCCGGCGCTCAGGCCTCTCTGCAGGCTATGTCTACGTGCACGTCGCGGCAGGAGATTTGCGTCTAGCGCCTCCCTCCGATCTGCTGCCTGGCCTTCGGCTGCTGCTGCAGCAAATGCTGCACCCCAGCCACAAAGAAAGGCCGACTTTTACAGATATTAGGCGAGAGCTTGCGGCCCTTCAGGAGAAGACGATCTCTGCCATTGAAGAGGACTTGGACGAATTTTTCTCTTACTAGGCCCTTTCTTCATCTTCTTCCTCTTCATCCTGCTATATGAGTCGCGTCTGCTGCGGTACTATTAACAGGGAAACGGCCCAGCAGGTAGCAGGAGCAAGGATAGCAGCACCACTAGGACCAGCATTCTTCTCTGCAAAGTCTAGCATCAGGTTCTGAGTCTTTCAGCTAGCTAGTCAGCGAGTTGGCCAGCTACCTCAGTCCTACGGGTTGTCTAGCTAGAACAAGGTGGCTAGGTTGCGAACCGGCTGCTGGCCGAACTCTTTAGATGCACTTGCTTGGTAGGCATAGTCCTGAATATTGTTCATAAAGTAGCAGTATGTAGATCCCTCAGCACCCTTCTCTTCAAGCACTTTTTAATTTTAATGACCTGAGGTAGTGTCTATGGCTGTGGCTGGCTGGGAAACCAGCTGTGGCGTACATGCAACGCTATCGCATGCATCTGATGGCAACGACAGTAAAAGTCCTGATTCCTTTGCACGGCTGGAGATTGGGGACAGCCTCGCGTCTTCGTTCTAGCTAGCCAGCTGGCCGGCTAGCTGACTAGCGTATGATAGCTTGGAGAGTAGTGCAGAGTCTGTGAGGTGGATTGGCTTCGTAGCATGACTCATTCCTTCCCCGTGTACAGAAACATTCGAAATTCGGGCTTTGTGGGTCGGGGGCCTGGAATGCAAGGTGTAACAATGCGCATGCCGAGCGTGCCTGTAGCCTACTGATACTGCCCATGGCTCCATGGGTGCTGCTGCCGCGCTCCCTCAGTCCCTCATCAAGGATTTTCAATATGTGGATGCCTCTTGGACCCCCCTTCCACCCCATCTTCAGTACCGGAAGCCTGCGCTTCGTGGACGTGCCCATCCACCTCGACTGCCGCTATCTGTGCGTGGATGAAGCCTCCAGGCCCTGTTTCACAAGGCGCTACTGAGCCTTCCGACGAGTCGCTCGAGCTCCCTAGGGTCGTTGAACCCTCGAAGACATGCAAATGAGCTTCTTGGGGCCGCCTGCGAGCGGCCTCATCGACTAGCTGCTCCGCGAGCTGAGCGCAGAAAACGATTCTTCTTGGGAGCGTGGTTAGCTGATCCCATTCGAGGAAGGAAACCTTTCCTACAGTGAAGCCGAGTGCCCTCAGAAGGTTGAGTTTCAGGGATGTGGCGGCAGTGAGCATGACTGTGTTCCTGTAGTAGTGGGGGGGCCCCTCGACCTCGAGACAAATCCGAGGACCCAAGAGGATATCCACACAGAGGGGGCCCAGCTGCACTTCACTCTGATGAGGCACGCACGCCAGGGAGAAGGCTCTGGATACGGAACGGTGGAGGAGGGATGACAGCGAAAGACTGCCTGATGAGGCAAGGGAAACGGTTGCTGCCTGAGCGAGGAAGGAAAGCACTGGAGAAGGCAGGTCAGAAAAGAACTTTGGGCGAAACAGACGCAAACAGAGACCTGCAAGTTGTATTCTGTAAACCGTTGCTGCGCTGAGACGGTGCTGCTCTCGCTGCAGCTGTTGCAACAATCCCAAAAGGAGACCATCAAATTGATCCGGGGGCAGCTCTTCCTGGTGCTGCCCCTCGGACTGCTCATGTTGATTGGGTTTCTGTCGACCTTGCACACAATTGGTTTCTTCTGCCACCGACTGCGGTTGCTCCACGCGTTGATGTGGCTGTAGCAGCAGCAACGCATAGAGAACAGTTGCTGCGTCTTCTTGGCCCAGTTGGTGTAACCTTGCGTATATCTCCTTCCCGAGGTGTTTGTACAGCTGCGGATCCCGTACTGCTAGCTTTGCACATGCAGCAAAAACGCCGCAAAGAGCCCTGTTGCTGAGCTCCTTCTGTCTCTTTCTCACGAGGCGGGACGCCCGGGAGAGGAAGGCGCTATCTCTCCATCTCAAGCGTTCCAGAGATACCACCGCAGCAGCGATGGAGCAGCAATCGAGAGAGAGAATATGCAGTCGGAGGCGGGCGATGGCTGCTCTCACAAAGGCCTGAGACACTGCTGAAGGAGGCCCACGTGCTACAGACCCCAGAAGAGAGACGAGGCTGTCTAGCGGCATCTGGGAGGCCCGCAGGTTGCCTTGCCGCTGAAACGCTTCCCACACTAGCCTGTTGTTGATGCCAAGCGACACGGCAGCACTCGCAACAAGGGATAACCCCAAAGAAGAAAACTGCCGCTCGTAAGAAAGCAGCTGCCTCTCCAGCAACCCGCAGAGTTCCTTATCTCTGACACCGGCCCTAGCCAGCGCATGGGCAAGGCAAGCGATCGTTTGTGCACCTGGCACGCCTTTTTCCGTGGGCATCACGGCAGGTGGAGATGCGTCCGTGGAAGAGATACACTTCGAAGAGAGCCGGCGTAACTCCTCCTTACAACAGTCGCTTAGGACCGCGAAGATGCGAGGGTCCTTCTGTCCCATTCTATTCAGAGAAAATGCAACTTGCTGGAGATCTAAGAGCGACAAGGAGAAGTTCTTATGATATTTACGACCCACGGTGGCTCTGAAGAACACTTCATCCTTGATGGCGTGCAGCAGCGCCGTGTCCGAGCACCCCAATTTTGCAAGAGATATACAGAGGACTGCCAACTCCGAAGCCCGAAACTTTTGCAGACACCGAGGGACGCGATCAGACAACGCAGAAAGAAGAGCGGGGTGGCAACAACCAAAACGCGCAAACCCATGACTCAGGAGGGACAGATGCTGAGGACTATATAGTGCAATCTCTCGTACTGCCTGCAAAGAGAGACAGAAAGACAAACAAAGGAAGGGGCGAGTAGGTTTAAAGGAGTGCATATATTTATTGGTGTGTTTAGATGTGTGTGTTTATATACATATATATATATATATATGCGTGTGTGAGTGCATTTTCATGCACGCAAGGTTCGAGAGTTAAAAACAGACATAAGTATCGAGAAACATAGCGCGTGAAAGCTCACCCTAGAGCAAGCAGCAGAGCGAAGAAGGTTGAAAGGCTTAAGGGCAGACAGTGACACGAAATACGCGAAGACACACAGGGAGAAACACTAAGTTTCGTGCAAATCGCTGGCCTCAAAGCGTGGCAGCGTTAATTGAGAGGGCACTGTGTGTCATGCAAAGGAGCACTGAGGTGTGTATGTACACCGCAAGATGTTCTTAAAAGAGAGAGGAGGTCGCAATATTAGGAAAAAGGCGCAAAGCAGGGGCATATTTAGAGAAAAGCAAAAGGGCCTAGGCTCACGTGCTCTGCTGCAGCACCAAAGAGGGGGTCACTGTACATCTCCAACCGTGTAAAGGCATTTATGAAGAGGGCAACATCCTGTGGGAGCCATTTATCCTTTTGCGTTAGCGCTGCCTCCTCTATGGCATGCAGGGCCCCTAAATGTCTTGCCGATGCGACGGCAAGCGCGTTGGCCGTCAGTGCTAGCTGCATAGGCCGCATTGCTGCTGCAACGCGGGGTATCTGTGGGGCCATGGAGGCAACAAAGCGCACCGTGGCGGCTGTACTCCTACATTTCACACTGCTATTGAGTGCAAGGGACACTTCCTTGGGGCCGAGGGCTGACGCCTGCTGCAGCAATCGCTGTGCTGCGGCTGCAAAGGCTGCCTTGTCTGCCTCTACGTCCAGGGGAACCCTAAGTCGAGCATACGCGGCCATCAACTCCCTACAGCAGGAGGGTGATGCTGACTCTGCAGTGGCGCGAAAGGCAGTTGCAAGGTGCCGCAACGTATTAACGCTCCGCCAGCCGCACTGCTGCAAAACCCGCAGTAGATCTCTTATTTCTGTGGCAGTAAAGGCAGCAGCAGGCAGTTCCTGCAGCCGCAGATGCAGCGACCGCTGCAGCTCATTGTCTCTTAGCCCGCTGGCCCTTAGCCCATTGTAAATGACCAACAGATCATCAGGGCTAAGAGCTCCCATAACACGAGTCGTAGCCTTCGCAAGGGCCCCCCAGTGCACAGGGGACAGAGGCAACTGGACTCTTGGAGGAACCCCCGAAACGGGAGCTAGAGGGGCCCCTAAGGGGCCCCCAAGAAAACGGTATACATTGAGGAGGGCCTCACGGCCCAGCTGACTCAGCTCCAAAGGGGAGAGGAGATTCTGATGCCAAAAACACACGCAACTATGCTCGATGCAGGTGATGCTGCAGCCTCCTCCGGCGTGCTGGTGGAGGCGACGCGGAGAGCCACTCAAACGCGCCGCGCAGAACCCCTTAAGCAGCCCAACCAGCAGCAGCACTAGCCATAAAGACAGCAACAGGATCTCACCTCGGCCTCCTTGGGGGGCGCTGGCCTGTCTACCACAAGCACGTGGTACCACCTATGAAAAGTTCCCGGGGGGCCCTCCACTGTTGGCGAGATGGGTGTCGCAGGGGCCCCCTGCAAGGGGCGTCCTGAATGTGAGGTGCTGGGGTCCTCTGGAAGCTTTGGCAGGGGAGCTCCTGCACGGCGGGGGTGAATTCTGCGCTTAAGCGGAGGCGAAGTCACCAGCCAGGCGACAGAGTGCCCCGTATGAAAGGGAAATGGAGGGGCCCCCAGCCTCAAGACCCCAGGGGGCCCCCGCATCAGTGAGGGCTCCAGGAGAAAAGCTCCCAGTCTATCGGGAGGGCCTTGGGAAAACTCCCCTTATGCCATCGAAACAACGAAAATCCCTTAGCCTTGCATTTTAAAGCAGACTTTCTAGGCTTAAAACCCCAAAACGTAGACCTTGGGTGGCATCGGCATTGCGAGAGAACCATGGGTACCCTCCCGCGGGTAGCGGTCGATTGTGGGGCCTAGCGGGGGCCCCCCTGAGACAGGTTCCCATTCAAAGCAAGTCTAACTTCTCTTCACTGTTATGACGTTCTTCCTCACGTTGCCGCTTGACGACTCCCCAAAGGACCGTTGAGTGCATCCTGGTGTAGCGAGGCCTCGGTGACCTTGCGGGCACAACTGCAGTTGCTAAGGCCTAAGGCCCCACCACAAGCTTCGAACTGTCGAGCCAAAAAATGCCGGTTGTGCGAACTCCTGGAGAGCTCTTAGGTTCTGCCTCGGCCTTCAGCCCCGGCGAGGGCGTCTACCAGAAAGGGGGCGACCTCAGGGCCTCAGCTGTAGGCATCGAGAAAGTCTCTCCTCCGCCGAACAACAGGGTAAGACGATGCGCCTATTGAAATCTATCGCAAAGGACCCAGGGGGAATGCCGCTTTTCCGGGCGACTCGCAAGGCTGTACGCGGGCGAAGGCCTTAACTGTCTTTTCGCTCGGGAGGGGTCCAGTGTATCTGCACCGCATGTGGCCTTTCTGTGCCCTGAAATCGGTGTCCTTCGCCTGTCTCTAGTAGCAGTTTAAGGGGGGGCTTTGCGAAGCGCCGATCCCATTGGCAGAAACCGAGGTGCTCCCTCATGTGGCAGGCACCTCAGGAAAGCCTCCCCCCACCGCCTGTGCGTTCAAAGGCGTTTCGAGGTGGCCTCCCCCTCCTGCGCTCATTTATCTGCAAGACCCTCCTTGTGCAAGGATGTGGCTGCTCTTTAGATTTGATTCAGGCGTCCATGAGGTCTGGCATCTCCTGGCTCTCGTACTTCCAATGGGGCCCCGTGTTTGTCCCTGATGACCTTCTCCTGTCCCTGAGTCTTCTGGTATGCAAACTTCGAGTCATGCCGTTGCGCTTTCAGGGTTTGCCAGTGCTGTCTATACTCCGCGCTGCGCAAAGTCGCGCGGCAGTCGCTCGCGTCGGCTCCTTGGTCTTGGGTCAGGTAAGCAGGGTACCCCACTCCACCCTTGGTGCAGACGTGCAGGACGCGGCCTGTTGCTGGTTCCAGCAAGCACAGCAGTGCTTTTAAAGGGGCTTTGTCTTCTGCACAACCTGAGGTAGTCACCGCGGAGGAGGCGCTTGGCTTTTAATATGCCTCTGGCTTCAAGGTTAGGGCGATGTTGCTCGAAGGTGACTGCGGTAAATCGAATGTTGGTCGAAGTGGCGGTGCTGGCCGTTGATGGGCATGTGCTCCCAGAACCCTACAAAGGCGCAATCAGGTTAGGGCATGAGATTAGCTGTGGAGGGTCCCTTTTTTGCACGCTTTCACGGGTGTGGGGCTTTTAGTGGCGAAAGTGTTTGCACATCCCATTTTAAAGGCCTTGGAATCGACGCTTTGCTCTTCAGGGCGCAGGATGTGCGAGAGACTATTGTGGAGAACTTCGATATCGCCGAATGCTTCCAGCCCTCGGACGTCGTTCGAGCAGAAGTGGTCCTTCAGGCCCCCGATCATAGCCCTAAGTCGCGTTGTGCTCTAGATTAGACTAGGCGCAGCTGCTTCACATTTTTGCCACGCTCGTGGTTGCTGGCTCCCATTAAGACATGCCAAGGATTGATGTGGATGCGGGGTCCGGGGTTTGTGCGTACAGCTATCGGCGGACGGGCGAGTGTATCTACTAGGCACTGCCGCTGACGACTTGGGCGTTTTGTGCGCGGACAGCAAAGCGGGGGGAGCCCTGCAGCCGGTATCGGCATTGCTCATGCGGTGTAGCCTCACAGGGCAGCTAGAGAGAAGGTAAGGCTGCAACGCGCACATACCCTGTGCCTTAGAGGCCTTCACATGCCGTCCGAACCCGAATTCGTGAACTCCCAGCAAACACCAAAGCGTCAGTTGCCCAATCACGCTTACGCAGAGTAACTTTGTGAGTCCTAGTCACATGCCATGCCACATGCCGTCCTGTGAAGCCCCGGTTGGCTCAAAGCCTGAAGCCTTGGTGCAGCCGGCTACCTCCACAGGCACGAAGCTTAGCATGTAGCTGGTGCACATTCTGCTGCTGCTTTCAGAAAAGTGGCAAGGCCCCCTGGGGTCTAGGGCTTGGCGCGTCGTAGCAAGGTGGCTGATGAGTCTTAAGAAAATGCGTTTTCCGGCGACGGCCCGTAGCTGTTGCAGCTGCTGCCGCAGGAACAACGAGCCCCCAGGAACCTACTGCGGACACCACACCGTAGGAATCTTGCCGTGCGTGGAGCTTTGACTGGCACTGAGATTCTAGCTGTTCAATATTTTTTGGTTGACACCGATGAGCGATTCAAAGCCTGCCGAGGGCGCTGGAGCCTTGCAGCAGCAGCAACAGATACCGTTGCTGCAGTTGCCTTTGTGGATAGATAGAAGTGGGAACTGGGTCGTTTCACCGCAAAATCCTAGGCCACCCATCCCGCAGCGCCACAAAGGTTAGTAAGCACCGCGGCAACCGCCGAAGGGTCTCCTTCTCCGCTTTCCGCCTTCCGTCGAAGGCCGTTTCTCCCCTGCTGTCTCTTAAGGCCAGGGATGCCCAATGTATCTCCTTCAAATAGACTCATTCTCCCCAAAACCCACTACAGCGCTTCCCGAGAGGGAAAGCCTTGACGCTTTCTCTCCTCGTTTTCTTCTGACTCGCTGTGGCGTCCCTCCCGCTTCCTTGCTTCTCTAATGTGTCTATCCCTCCAGCGGTCCTGTTGAGGGCCTGTCCCTTTACTCCTTGAAGGATGTTTCTCACTGCACTGTCATATGTCTCCTCGCCCCGTCGTTTGGTGTACCACGGGGTGCCTCTGGGGTCGCCTAGAGTTGCAAGTCTCATGCGAGTCTTTTGATGGGTTCAAGGGCCCTGAAAAAGCTGGCTAGTGACTAGATAGCATATCCTCACCCCCCGTCCCCATAGTTTAGACACCAACGAGGAGGTGCTCAAACAGGCTACTTCGAGTGTCCTCGTACAGGGATCTGCCGCCGAAGACGCAAACTACGCATAGAGGGGAACGTATAGGGGTAGAAATTACAAAGGTTCTTCTTACTACTTGAGTAGTGCCTTTCCAAAAGAACTAGTAAAAACTGACTACTGGTTTGGCTTCTCGTGTATCTGTTTACAGTATGTATCTAGTGCAATACGATAAGAATCCATGCTGTGCTTGCCTGAGCTCTACAGGTTGCCACTATATCCAGCTAGCTTTGAATGCTCGCTGTGCTTGGAGGATGCAGGAACCCCCGTGCACCCTAGGTGTCTCTCTTTCTGTCTCTCTCTGTGTCTGTCTCTGTCTTTCTCCCTCCCTCTCTCTCTCCGCACATGCTGGAACCCTGATGGGTGACGGCATTGGGTGGGGGGCCGGTAAGAGTTTTTTCGAAGGAACGCTTAATGAATTTTCATCGAATAAAATAGGTTTTGGGGCTAAAAATGTGCCTCCCTCAGGAAATTCTAGTGGAGGGACACCATTGAGAGGCTGTCCTCCGTTCATTGAAATGCTCACGCCTTCCGATTCCCCAGCTTTAGCTTAGAGCCCCTGCTTATGAAGTTGGAACAATATTTCGGTGCAAGCAGCTCACACCCTGTACGTCGTCCGGGGGCCAGCATACACCCGGGAACTATCGGGCTTAGAAGCGTACACCCCACACACCTCATTCGTGCAGCTATCCCTACATTGTGGCAAACATGAACTACAAGAAACCACGCCATGCAGTTCATTTCGAGCCGAATGAGGTGCGACTCTGTCTACTCGCAGCAGTCAAAGTGTGGCCTAGCTCACTCAGAGGCGCGCGGTTGAGGACCTCCCCGCCTGGCAAGTGCAGCCTTGGATGGAATTTCTTGAGCTGCTTCAGAAACTGTAATCCATGAAGCTCTCACTAAAAAGACCTCCTCCCTCGGCCTCCCTACAGGCGACATGGAAAGGCAACTAAAATATCCGCCTGCTGCGTCAGTGTGTGCAGCCTGTTCAAGGGCTTAAGGCATCGCAGATTTAATTGAACTGTCAGAATATAGCGCTTCGAGGCTTAGCCTTCAGAACATTTGGATTCGGATGCCACGTTTGAAGCCTGCACTAAAGCAAGTACACACGATGCACGGTGTACAGAAAACGTGTCAATCCCCATCTCCATACATGTATGATAACTTCCTCCCAAGACGCATTCTTAGCCTACAAACAAATAGCTTCATACTAAGCCCTAGATCTAGAAGATTTTCAGCGCCGGCAGCTCGTCCACTGCTATCCCTCCATCAGCATGCATCACGGGCCCCGAAGGGTCTTCTTGGGGGCCCCTGGGGGCCCCTGTCCCCCTTTCACTTGCGTTGAATTCAGCAAAACACATTTGCTCAGTGAAACTGCTGACGAATCCACCAGGTAGCAGCTTCTGGGGTCTTGTTCACCCTCCTCCGCGTAGTGCCCGGTAGTGCTGGTGAGGGCCCTTCGAGTCACGCCTTCCCCTTTTCCATTGCGCCTCTTCCAGGGGGACCCCATGGGGCACCACAGAACAGATCAGGAGGCTGCGGCATCCCGCCGCACAACTTGGGGGGCCCCCAGCCTCCTTGGTCAGGCGCTAGCTGCTGCCAGGGGAGACGGCCCATCCGGCTCTGACGCAGGGGGGGGCCCCTCCCGGCGGGTTATTTCACACAGGAGGCGCTCGCGTTCGCGTTCTCGGTCAAGAGAGTACCACTCATCCAGGATTTCCAGGAGGGTGCAAAGAGAAGGAGCGGGGGCTTGGGGGGCCCGTGGGGGCCCCGCGGCGGGGCTGCCCAATGCGGCAGCTCGTCGTCACGTGCGAACCTGGTTGGCTGAGCCTCGGACTGCTTCTGCACTGAGAGGCCCTCGTGACTACATTGAAGGCTCGTTGAGGGCCCCCCTGTCCAGGAGGAATGGGGAAGGGAAGGAGGAATTGTGGAGTCACGACATGTTTGAAGGGGGGGAGCAGGAGGCGGCCTCTTCTGTCTTTGTCAGGGGCCTCCCAACTGACATTACGCGTCAAGAGCTAACGGCTAATTTCTCAAAGTGTGGAAAGGTCGTCTCAGTCAGAGTAAGCCAAATCCACCCTATATGAATTGCGACTTTCTGAATCGCAAATCCTAAAATAAATCGCCATCAGCGCCGCCGTCCCGCGCCTTGAAGTTTGCCGAGGTGCGCACATGAGGGGAACGGGCAACAAGCGCTGGGTAGATGTGAGGGGCGTAGGAGCAGCTCTAGGGGCTTGGGGTTTAGGTTTTGCGGTTGTAGGTGGATGCGCGGGGCCGCACGGGCACGGCAGAAGTGTCGTTCGCTCAAAAAGGCGCAGCCGAAATTGCGGCCAAAACCTTCCACGGGGTGTATGTACACTTGAAAAGAGGAAGGGAAAAATTCTGCCTGAAAGTGGCGGTAGTGGACAAAGCGCAACAACCTGAAGCCGTTGAAGAGATAGAAGAAGATGAAATACCCCGTAAGTAGCAAAACACGGCATACTCCCGTCCTTAGGAGCCCTGAAGCTAAGAGATGTGGGTCTGGGGGGAGCCTTGTGGAGGGGAAGCGTCTATTTCAGAAACCCTTTCGTAGCGGGCCACCCAGGGAAACACAGGGGCAGACCGATAGCTCGGCAAATATACAGCCAGGCCTCCTCCCACAAGGGGACTTGCGTCGGTTTCGCCCTCTCCTTCTCATCATAGCTGCACACTGAACTTGGTCTTAGAACTTGTACCAAGTAAACGGGCCGAAGCAGAGCATTGAAGGAGCGCTGGACGCTTCTGTGGGACAGGAGGGGCAACACCAGCCAAAATTGTGGGTTAGAAACAAACCAATTCAGCGGCTAACCGAAGAAACAATATCCCACTATCTCTGGTTTGTGCTGCAGCAGACACTCCTGCGCGCTTTGTCGTCCTTAAGGGCCCTGGGGGTAGTCCCTCCTCAAGATCCTTCCGGAAGGAGGGTGTGCCCTTGGGGCGCCTCGCAGCAGATGCGCAGCCGGTTTCGATCTTTGACAGGCTCACGTGAGCCTCTTTGTTCTTAGGGCTTTACAGAGCGGACTCCCATTTCGTTTGCTCAACTCTTCCTTAGACCCAGGAGCTAGGCTTTGCGTTCTGGCAGTGCGTCAGTGAAGGGGCTGAAGTATTGCAGGACTCCCCATCTGCAGAGGCAGCAGCAACCAGGACCCCCAAATTACCCTGCAGTGCATATCATTAGCGCGACGCTTGACTTCTTTGCGCTCTCTGTCGGCGTTTGGGGCCTATGGCTAACACACCCGAAACACACACTTTCAAGTGAACCGGCCAGCTCATCGATCTGTGTGCTGCTTGTGCTGAGGGCCTTCCCCCAGCGGCAGCAGAGAATCAGGCTCACTTTCCGTTAGTCATCCATTTGGGATCTGTGGCTTCAGCGGCATCGGTTTTCTCCCTCCTCATTCCGCAACTGCAGCGAAGCAAAGCCGCACGCGCTCTTCCCACACCGCACTCTTCCTACACACCACCCCTTTTGTAGCTACAGGAGCAGAAATGGCCGCCCCCACCGACAGCAACAAGAATTACCCAAGTTCAGCCTTGAGGAGGCGCAATGCCAGGACGCGGGTGCAGCAGTAGGCAGCGACCGATGCAAATGGAGTGTCAGTACGCCAAGCCCTGTCTCCTGTATCCATTTTACGAGCACACACAACCCAGAAGTACCGGTTTTTTGGTGACAGAAAGGCAGCAGCCCCTCCCCACGGATGTGGCTCTTGCCACCTAGGTGGCTGCCTCTGGGCACATGTTATTCGTTACTACCCATAGAGACACACACACACCCACACCCACTTTCCTTTGCCCATAGCCTGCCTTCCCTATGGGCCGCCACGCCTCTCCAGGGGCACGACTGCCCCCATCCGCATAGCACAAAATCTGGGGCCTTTCACCCCGCCCCTTCCTCCCCTCCCCCCAGCTGTGCCGCCCCCCTCCTCCATTAGCGGGCTCCCTCGCCAAAATTCCCTGGTGCATAGTTCCTAAGGGAGCCCTTTGTTCTTGTGTGCATAAGTATGGGCGAGGGCTTGTGCATTTTGGGCTGGCCGCCTGACCTATTAGCCTCCTGTAGTTCATGTCGCCCTTGAGAATAATAAGCGCCGCCTCTTTTTCCCACAACGATACAATGGGCTTCGGAGCTCTCCGTAATTCAAGAGGGGAGCAACAAAAGAACGAAGCAGACACAATAAGTACACCCGCAACAAGCCACTCCCTTAGTAAGGCGCCCCAACGGGACAAGTTCACGTCCTGTAGCACAAACAGCAAGCTTTTCAAACACCAATTCTTAACATTTGATACAGCACAGAAGGATAGTTGCCTCGTAAGGAACTCAGAAAGCGCTTTCGAGGGCGACAGGATATTCAGGGATCCGGACTTGGGAGGTGTGGCGGTCCATTCTACCTGTCCTTGGCTCTGCATCCACCTTATGGTCATCTCTAGATCGGGTTTTGTGACGTCAGAGACGTACGTGGGCTGCTGTTTGACGCAAAGCCTTATGCTTCGTGCAGCCCCCGTAAGGAGGAGGCAGCTACACAGCAGCAGGTCAGACAAAAGTTCCCCTCCTGCGTTATCGGTCCACAGGTGAACCACGCCGCTGCATCGGCTGCACTGGCTGTTGCTGCTGCAGCCGCAGTTCTTGCTTCTGTTACAAAGGTCCTCGAAGAATGCCTCAAAGTCATCCGCCAAGAGCCAAGAGTGCGGCCCTCCAAAAAATGTGCCTTCCTGTTCTCCGACGCTCTGTGGCTTCCCTCGCTCTTGGGCTGGTTCCCCTATCTCCTCGCAGAGTTTTGCGGGCCAAAGGGAAAGATCCCCTGCGTTACCCTCTAAAGACGCAAATACAGCTGATCGGATTTGGTGTTTATACAAAGCGGGAGAGGGCTTCGTGTTTCGGTCCTTGGTGTCTCCTCCACTGGGATGCTGTTGCAACAGAGCTGCTACCTGCTGCCCGTAGACGTCAGCTTTAGCAGCAGCAGCAGAAAGCCCTGCCATCTTCTGGTAGAGGAATGGGTCGTATAGAGTTCTAAAGAAATCAAATGCATGCAGTATACGCCTAAAGCACAAGTCACAACACAGTCCGCAAACGGCCAAACTGCGCCAACGGGTCTGCTCGTAGGAACCGTTAAACCATGGATTTCACACCGTGAGCAAAGTCTTAGCGACACTGAAGCCCCCAATCCACAACCTCCCTGCAGATCAGTGCTGTGCGCATATACGGAAGTGCTTTTGTTCGAGTCTACCTGTAGCAGTAGACTTCGGCTAGGATCCACGGAATTTTGCAAAGTGTAATATTCCTATCTAGGGCCTCCTTGAGCAACACTTTGTTCCACATTTGTATATCCCGTAGTTCACACTCGGAGCAGAAGCCACATGGAGGGCCCTCCGGAGAACCCCCGAGACAAGGGGCCTCAGGGGCACCCACCAGGGAAAAGGCTTCAAGGGACCCCTCAAAGGTTTCGAGGGGCCGCACTGCAGTCGTATCTGCTGCTCGCATGTCCTGCTGTAGCAGCAGCAGTAGCTCCTTGCTACGGGGATGCTGATGCAAATATGCCTCATTTTCCTTCAGCACCCGGCCTATTATATCATCAGGTATGCGGTGAAATATGGAGTCTCTCGCCTAAAAGATCGACCAAGCAATAGTGTAGTGTGCAAATGCTACACGATAAGTCTAAAATCTTTGGCCTATAGTCGGCATTTGGGGGTCTGGGAGCTGAGAGGCGATTGCAGGAGAGAGAATAAAGGCGAAGCTGGGGAGGTATGGCTAGGCGATAATGCTTACAAACGTGTTTGGAACGTCGCTCGTTATCTGTGGAGGAAGTAGGGAGTCTGCAGGGACGGGTGGGAGGTCTCCTTCTGTAAAAACAAAGCAGTAATCTTGAGGGCCCCTCTTAAACAGTCCTTTGAGGCTTGAGGGGCCCCCTATTGACTGGGCTTCTGCTTGCAGACGCATGGGACCAGAGGAATGAGATAAGCACGTAATAAAAATAGAAACAAAGGGGGAGAAGGAATATATTGTCACGGCGTATATACACCTCTATATGGTGAATGAGTATGGTACCCAGCCAACGCGAGCGCAGGACCAGGGACAAATTTGAATAAGCAGCGCATGTGCTTAACCTCACCCAGAAGAAAAAGTCGAAGACTTTACTAGTGAATATAATATTTTAGGAAACTTGAACGGGCAAACCGAGAGGTGGTTCTTTTTATTAGAGTCGGGATGCACCCGATGGAGGTCCACGGTGCAGTGCGCACATCTTGTCGCCTGCTGAACAGATCATTATTAGGCTCTGATGATAGCTTTCTTACAAGTTGAGGCTCATCATATTGGGCGTTATTTCCTGGTGGCCGCTCACCACTACTGTACCACTACTTGCGGTAATAGTCGGGGGAGCTTTGACATACGGAAAAATGGACGGTGTACTATCTCCAAACAGAGGCCTAGCTAACAATATTTTGCCTCTTGGCTGCTACCCTCGCTAACACATGAGTAGCTGCTTGTCATTCCCGCAGCTGCGGGAGCAATTTAATGCAATGCCTTTCGCCTTCTACTAGAACTTACGTAGCTTAGTTCTACGAAAGCAGCCCTTTACCTTACTGCGCGTATGAAATTAAGGCTTCAAGCACCAAAGGACGGCAAACAATGAAAAGTCTCAGAGCAAATAACACCGTTTGGGGATACAAAGAACGAGGTCTAATGCCCCCCTGACTAAGAACTGGACCGAACTAATTTACATGCACACCAAATTGCATGGACGCCCCAGATAAATGCAGGACGACAGACACCTAGGCTGCTTCAACATTGCATTCTGCATCAAGTGGGAGGAGATCATATCTTATAGGAATTTAGAGCATTCTAAGTCGCTATTGTGGTACATGCTTTACACTTTCAGTACCTAGCTAGCTCCAACCTTTAATGGCAGCAACTCCAACCTGTTGCGTTGAAGTGCCTCTGGCTTTTCCTGCTGTCAAGCAATGCACTGTTCCAGGCTAGCTTTCCAGAAGCCCAGTCAGTAGCCTGCATAGGCCATCTGACGTCTGCCTTTTCCTGCGTAGCATGGGGTTGCGATTTGCGGTGTATAGGCAGCAGGACCGTCAGCCAGCCAAGAGTTTTCAGCTGCCCAGCAAAATAAAAGACATTGCAATAGGTCTGAGGTGCCTGTACATATGGCCACCTCTCAAACCGAAGGGGTGCCGCACCTTGTCTTCACTCCAAAAGGGTGAGTGGAACATCGGGACAGTTTAGCCAGTATACCAGGCCCTGGCGTATCCACAGATGCAGGCGTGTATGCCTTCAATTTTTGACCCCTTGCCACTGCCAGCAATACGCCGCGGCAGTGTTTTTCTAGCTATCAAAAATAGCTTTAGACCACCAAAAGGAAAGCAAAAGCGGACACCACTGCAAGGACAGTCCCCGCAACTGGCGCAGTGGCTGAGCTGGTCGCTTTCTTGCCTATGCAACGCAGTCGCAAAACACAAAACCCTTTTACGGGCGTCCAAACACTACTTCGCCATGGAACAGAGAAGAACTAAACACCAAACTGCCTGCGTAGCTATGTGGCTACCGTGTAGAAAGAGACAGGAATGCGGAAGAGGGAGAAGAACGGGGACGTACCTTCAGCGCGGAGGGTCTCTGGAAAGCACATATCGCAAGCAGCACGGATGACAGTGAGGCAGTGTATCGCGCCTATATTCCTGTGAACTTTCTCTAATTTATCGCTAAGCAGCAGTTACAGCAATCGCAGCAGCGCCACAATCAGGGATACAACGGCTATCCCGTTGTCGCCCCTTCAGGAGAAGAGGGCCTCTTGCATACCTGTCAACTTGATATCTTGGTCCACATGGCGGCCTGCGCAGTGGAGGACAAGCAAAAAAATTGCCAAGCAAAGAAGTCTACCCAGGATAGCTTACGACCAGGGGCCCTCGGTGGATAGCAGACACTCCGGACACGATGGTTTGGATAGGTAGGCACGAGGATAGTGCGAAATCCAGACACGCGAAAGAAAGGCGGAGCGGAAAGGCACGTAAGGGGGTCAGCTAGCTGAGGGGAGTAACCCGAAACGGACAAGACCAAGGGCAAATCTGCCGCCTGGATACGAAGGGAGGGGCGCGGGGTTGGTGGAGAGCACAAGAAAAACACAGCAATGAGGAGGGAGATCCAATAGAGGGTGTTAGGGCATAGAAACAAGTGTGTATCGCAGAATAACTGCAAGGAGACTAACGTTGCACATCATGTGGTTGGGGAGCCTGGATTTTGGGAAACGACCCTTGTAGATCTGTCGCGAGATCATCTTCTGTTGCAAGAGGGAGATCTTCATTCTCATCCCCCGCTTCCTCAGTCCTGAGCTGTGAGCCCTCCCCTGCCCCTATACCGGCACCTGCTGGGCCTCCGATGGCATTTTCTTCCTCTATTGCCTCGACATCGTCTGTCGCATTGCCTCCATACTTGATGAGTGGGTCAGCAGGGCCCTGGTAGTCGTCCTCCTGCTGCTCATCTCCTGGTTGAGCCACGGTGTTCCCCTCCTCTGATGCATTTTCATTGCCAGGAACGCCAAGAGGCTCCTCCCCTCCTGCTCAGAAACAAGCGCACAGCTGCGCAAAAAGGCGATTATGTACAAACGAGCAGGCGCGAAGGAGTCACTGCTCTCTTGACTCCAAGCCCTCAGCCCTAAAGCATGACCAACCCTCCCATCTTTACCCTGGGGCGCCTCTTCAGCCGTTTCGTATGCGTTTCTACCTGCTTCTCCGCTATTTATGCCTTCATTAGACTCCTTGAGCATTGCATCTTCGGCTGCCGTCTGGTCAGTGGCTTGAAGAGGAGACAACGTCTCGGCAAAAGCAAACGGGGTTTCTTTGGTGTGTTCGTGGAGTTTGATGCTCCTCTTGTTGGCATGAATTTGAAGCAAAGAAACTGGCATCTCCTCTGCATCATCTTCAGCCTCTGGCTCCTCAATAAACGAGGCACTGCTTTCGTCCTGTGCCTCGTCGTTTTCCTCCGGCAGCTCAGTGTCCTCCTCTTCCATCGGCGCATCAGCCTCATCAGCAGAGCCTTCGGCGAAAGAAAATGCAGACTTCGTTTGGCCTGCTCTTTCCTCTGCTGAGGCCACCCCATAGGGATCAGCAGAGACACTCTCTGGTATTTCCTCTTCTTCTGCGTCTTCCAGTTCGGCGTAGCCCCAATCTTCTTCGGTTTCCTCATCTGCATCCTCTCCCTCCTCTAAGAAACTAGCCGGAGTTTCATCAAAATATTCATCATCAATGCCCTCAGGCTCCAGTTCTTCGTCCTCAATCTCTGTTTCGCCATCTTCTTCAGCCTCGGCGTTTTCGTGGTTCTCGATAAAACTCGCATTCTCGGCAGACTCAACTTCTTCTTCATCTTCCCCCTCTTCATCAGCGTCCTCTTCCTCTTCCTCTTCCTCCTCAGGCGTCCCCATGCCGTCTTCCGAGTCTTCTAGTTGAGCGAAGGAGGGGCCCCCCTGAAGGGCCCCCTCATGAAGTGACGCCTCATAAAGGGCCTCTTCTTCGGGGGAAGGGAAGGCTCCTTCTGTCTTGTGCAGCTGATCCGCCTTAATCCCTAGAGCACCACTGAGGTTAGAGAGAAGCCGATGCCCACCCTCTCCGTACAGGCGAAAATCGCTCATCTCTACGGGAGCATTTCGACTGTATGCAGAGACTGCGGAAAACCCCAGAAGGGGCAGAGAGAAAAGAAAGGACCTTTTTGCTGTTGTCATCGCCAAAACGGTGGCAAAAAAGATCGACGCAATGTTGGAAAAGTCAAGAGAGAGAAAACAGATACAGCTCAGAGCGACAGAGAAGAAGCAGGCAAAACGATGAAGACAGGCGGTCGGAGGCCTGAACGTGTCTCTTTCTGCAAGGCGGCAATGACTACATCAGGTGGACAATCACCTGAAATTAAGCAAAAATACTTTTCCATTCAAATACACGTAAAGAAGACATATTCGATACGAGGCAAAGGCCTTTGAAAACCCTACAGAGAGCCAAAAAAACCATGGAGCCCATCGCAGTCTGTCCGTCTGCTGCTGGTACGGCAACGGCCGGAGCAACGCCAGTCAGCCAGTCAGTCCTTCCTCTTTCCCTGCTATTTTATTCGTTCCTCTCTTCACCATCCTAATCAAGCTCCTACAGCTTTTCAATATTCTGTTAAGGGTCCAAACTTTAAGGTTTTGAAGCAGAGACTAGAAACACGTGCCTGCTGTAGACGGAGATTGCCGTCGGACTGGTTCCACCAACCAAGCACACACACCAGCGGAGGGAATCTCAGATCCCTGTCACTTCCCTTCCGTCCGCTGCCTTTTATTTCGCTCTATTTCAGCAAAATATAATTAGTTGTTCATCTCCTGCTTTTACTTTGCCAGCCTGTGATGTGGCACTTACGAGCTCTTCCACCATATCTCCGATCCAAGGGGGCCTTAGTCAACATCTACACTGAGCAGAACAGGCCAGGCTACACTCAGACAGTTCCAGGTATACCACCTATAGCTGATTCATCTTGGAGTGATTATCTAGTGTAGGGTCTGATGGGCCTGGTACTCGACTTGGATATTGGTTCGCTCCTCTCTCAACAAATGAATCTATGCTAGGTAACTGTGGGCAAAATCACTTCTAAAAGGGAGCAGCCGCGCAAACCAGTCATCCCTCTTCGAGTAATGTAAGGAACCTGCAGTGTAGAGCAAGAAGTAAAGGCAATTCTCCGGAGCAACTAATACGAAATATCGCAGGACCAGTTGACTTTTCACGCCTGTCAACACAAGACTCTACGTGTTGGGGGCAAAGCCGCATTAGAACGATTCCTGCCACAGTAGTTCATCCAAGGAAGAGCCGATGGATAATTGAGCAGCTGACGTTCTGATCTTCTGTCTAGTTGCTACAAAGTACTTTGAGCGCGATCCAAGGAGGGACATTATTGTGTGCGTACGCACTAGATGCTATTCGCAACCAGCTGCGAATGCTTGGGATGCTGACGGGGGTCAGCTACGCGCGTGTCAGCCGTTCCTCTATTCTCACATCAGGAATTCTGAGGGGCACGGTCGGGGAAAGGAGGGAGCTTGTTTGAGCAACACCCCAATAGAATAACATGTTTGTATAAAATCTGGATGGAAGTGTCTGCCTCCGGTCAGGATGCCACCTGACCTTAGGTAACTCTATTCAGTGTACTGACACGGTTTCCTAAACCCTTACTCTACTAGTAATCGAGCGTTGTAGCGCCCCTTCTAAGGTCTGCGCTGGGATTCCATTACTCCCAAATCACGAGAAATTCCAGATATCATTGTGGAATACTCGAGCAGGCAGGAGCACCGTGCGGTGCATATGTGGAGGCCATGTTTTCGGTGAACAATTATCCGTAAAGATTTTTGCGTATAGTGAGGATGTGCTGACTGGCTGGTTATGGTGTGAGGTCTGTGAAGGTACGTATTATTTTTGGCATCGCTGAGTTATGGCTCCCCGTTGAAAAATGTAGGGTGTACACGTTTCTTTTGTCAAAGCATGCTGTTTGTGCCCGCCTAAATAGTTCCAAGGGTGCAACCAGCTGCAGCGTTGCTGCCCCTGCTTCCGTTAAGTTCACGGCCTGATGGTATTGTGGAAGAGGGGGAGAGGGATTGCATTTTGGAAATGCAGATACGGCCAGGTTCCTTCATAATTATTGAGTGATCTTTTCCAAAGTTGGTTCCACTCATGGCGAGTTTGGAGTCAGCGGTATGTTTTTGATTATTGAACACTGGGGGTCGGGAAGAAAAGAGTTTTATAGTAGGCAAGGGAGTAGATACATACAAGCAGAGCTGACTAAAGGTCTCCAAGCCATGATACACGCTGATTATGTGTCTGCAAACGCCACTTATTGTAGCAGTCACACGAATGGCCCGTCCTTCGCGCTTTTCTAGTACTGGGGAGGAGCTCGTCTGCTGGCTTCACAGTGAGCGATATTCGTGAGACTCTCACAGCAGTTAGCTCTGCTTTCCCCTCGATACTTCTTCTGGTAGGCCGCTGAGCGTTCTGTGTAACGAATGAAAATATCCGAATACCCGTAGACGAAGGGGAGCCTAGGCTACAGACAGAATACACTGTCTCTGTACTGTCCCACGATACTTCGATGAATTTCTATTAATGTACACCCGCATTTTCTTTACTTATTAAAGTTAAGATCTTTGGCTCCTTCTGCCTCATCACTTTTCCTGTCCCTGGCGTACTCCCTCGACATTCCTCTCCCCCACGGCTATTGAGTCACTCACACGTTGACAAAATTTTCTGCCACATAGGGTTGATGGCGCTTAGAGCCTTAATACCTGACCTTTCTACCGGAATTCTGCCACACAGGGTTGATAATACTTCCAAAAAAGCCCTGATCCCTTACTCAAAATTAAGAGCTCATGTGAAGTAACCCTCTGGCCAAGACTCTTAGTCCTTTATATCTACCTTGCGAAAGCTTCACTCTCTAAGCCACAAAGGTATCCTCTTATGTCATCAATCCGTTCAAAGGTAACATATAAGTGCATAAAGGACCTTTGGGGCCCCTGATTGCTCAGCTCTGCACAGACAGCAGCCGTACGAGAGGGGCTGGGGCTACTCCCTATCCCTTCTACAGGGACCAAAAATGCCCCCTCACCCGCATCTCAAGGGAAGAGTATTCTACGTGCGCTATATATTTTAAAGGGGGGGTTCTTAGGGCGGAGATCAAAGTAGCAGTAGAAGCGGTTTGGAGGTGAAAGCTTTGTCTCCTGATGTCTATGTGTACTTTTTCCTCGAAGTCATGACCTTGTCCTCCTTTGCATTCAAACGCTCCAGCTTAATCCACTGGCGACTCTACTTCATAGATCCAATACCACTGGCGGCCGATGACTTTCACAGTCATCGCCGTGTAAACCGCTTCGTCGACCATATAGAGCATCGTAAAAACTGGAACTGTGCAGGCGTAAATCGCACACCCCAAACTTACATCCCTAAGGAATACACCCCCCGTTAGCCCCCTTCAAGACCTCGAACCCAAACACTAAATACGCACAAACGTCAAGAAAACGACACAAGTGAACCAAGACGATCACGAAACCCAAACCCAAAATCAGCCAATCAGCTTGCGAACAACACGGAAAACCACATGGACAGACAGATAGACAAAGCACAAAGCCAAGCAGTAAAAGAGCCAGTCCCCAGCAAAGAGGGTTGTGCAAGAAACAGGATGGAAGCCGAGGAGCACTTACGGGAGCGCTAAGAGCGGCATATGTCGAGGAAGACTTTAGGGAAAGCCAGGCAGGCAACCCCAAGAAAAGAGGTGCGTGTCAAAGTGAAAAACATAATAAATATACTAAACTCAACAGAAACAACGAAACATCAGCTGTATATGTCTCACTCGTGAGTGACCAGATGATGAAAGTCGGGGTCCAGAAAAAAAGGAATTCCGCCTTCATCAAAAGGTCGTGGTTGCCGTAAACGTTCATTCGCTTTCTTGGGAAGAATGGCATGTTAAGCTGATAAAAGAGCAGAGAACGCAGGCTGACGGTCAGCCCGTTCAAAAAGGGGTCAGGGACCCAGCAGTGTTCAATAACAGCGGCCATCAACGTATAAAAGGAGAAAATGAAAGCAACGTGCGTCCTAAGAAATGAGAGGATGGTACAGGACGCAGTAAAACATGCACGAACATCTTTTTAGCCCTATCCTTGTGCCTCCACTTCCTCTCACGTAAAAGAAAAGCAGGTGTTGCTCTGCTACTAAAAGCAGAATAATAGGGCATCAGAAGGCGGGAAAGCTAATGAAAGAGTGTTCTATCCTTGTTGTTGGAGATGCCTGCTCGCCGTTCTGCAATGAGATACTCATCGATATGCTGGATCAGCCACCCGCATGACAAACGCAGCAACAAAAACTGTACCTGGTGAATGCTGAATAGCTCAACGAGAGGCCGTGGCTCAATGCCCTTTATCATCTTCTTTCCGTTGACTGACACTATATGTTGTTTCGGGACATTCGTATAGGTGTCTTCAAAATGAAACGCATGGGGGGTAGCAGGATACGTATACGTTCCGTCGGGGTTCAAGAACTTGCGGGGGTCCCCGTGGTGCGCATGGTCCTGTGGCATATTATACAGTCCCTTCGGCTCGGAATCATGGTGCTCTGCTGCTGGCGTTGTTGCTCCTCCTGATTTGACGGATGATGGTAGCGAGGAAAAAGAACGCGAGAGAGAGCGGGACAAAAAGCGCTCAGATATACCCCGAGGCAGGGGAATAAGTGAGCGGAAGGGAGAGAGCAGCATTTTGAATCAACAGTGTACCCTTTAGAATCTTTGGAACAGGGCTCAGAAAAGCAGTATCGCAAGGCATGCAGCAGGGACACACACGCCCTTATCTGCTTCTGTTGTTGCAGCAACCACCACCAGCCACAACAGGGGATAAAATACCATACGATTTCGTATATATATATTAGGTAAACCCCAAAGGGATCTAGCAGCAGAGGCTGAAATAGCACTCCCCTCGTGTCAGAGCCCCAGCCAACAAAATCAGCCCACGTCGCTCGGTTGGTTTGGGAAATGAAGAACGCAGCAATTCCCTCAAATTAACGATTCACACGTGTTGTTTATATATCGAAAAAATAGTATGCAGAATGATTGGTGAAGGGGAGAAGTGGCAGTCGCAGATTATTTTTTTCGCTTACGGTGCTGCGTTGCTTTTGGTCACAGGGGTTTAGGAGTAAGCAAGGATAAAGAAAATATTTAGAGGCACACACACGTCGCGAACGTATATCAAATTAAATTACTAATGTCAACAGGAACATGCTCATCGTTAACCGTTGTTGCCCCTATTTCCCGTGTAGAGTAACTGCGCACCTACCCAGTTATGTGCTTAGACACACCCAAACAGCGGCTACTATACTCACTGTGTAGTATTACAATCTAGCAAATAGTGAATGACTGATTTGGCAGTCTGTAGATCCCCCTTTAGCGCAGTTGGGATGGCGCCTTACACCACGAATGTACTCTGGCCGTCGCACACCAGGTTTACAGCGTTCTTAGGCTTACCACGGAACTTCCTGCTACACTATGATTTACTTGCGGGCAAACCAATAAGTATACATTTTAGTAATACTTGGTTGAATATGACTATTTATTGAAGAGGATTGATGCCTCGACATGAGAAGACCTAGCGGTGTGTGCATCGCTAGATGCTATCTGCAACAGCTAACTGTGAGTTTCCGAAGAGCTTTAGCAATGCAACTGCGCCCACCCTAGCTGTCATTCTTTATCGACGTAGTGGAATCTGAGGAATGGGGACAAAGGAAGCAGAAAGCTTCTTTGGAAAACACTCTACAACCCTCTTGTCAAGTTTGCATAAAGTCTTGATTTAATTGTCTCCCTACAGACACCTTAAAAAGAGGGTTACGGTTGGTATCGCTGCACGATTCGGTGCTCCTGATCCCACGTCCTTACTGGTCATTGATGCGGTGGGAGGTCAGATTGCCCTACACCAGCTGTCTGATCTCGGCTATTTTATTTGGCATTGAGAAATATACTTTTAATCCTTTACAGCAATATGGAAAGGCACCCTCCGGCGAGGAACATTTACGACAGCACAACGCCTGCTGGGGTGGCAGAGGCCAGCCTGAGTGCTGATGTGGACTTGGGGTCGCCACAGCAGTTAGAAAGGCTAGGTGATCAGCCAGCAAAATGCTTATGGATGCGTGGGTGAGCTTCTACCGAGCAAATAAGGAGGCACTAGAAAGTGCAGGTACTAAAATTGTTGATCTGGTTGTTAAAGGTGTACCTCGCATCGTATCCCCTACATAAAGAGAAGCGAGCGTTTGTTGGGGGATGTCTACATAGAGGAGCAGCCCTTCGAAGGTGGCTTTATTCATGCACAGGTGAATGTTCACATGCAGAGCATACTGAAGTATAAGTTTTTCCTGGCCATGACTTATCCCTTTACGCGGAAATCAGCTCGACAGCAAACTTTGGGAGGGTTGAGAAGGCCGAAGCAGAGGACACTGTCGCTAGACAGGTATGTCAAGAAAGATATATCTTTGGCTTGCAAAAGAGACAGTTTATACAAACGCCTCCCTCTTAATGGATTTCCTGATTCGTACATCAGCGATTGTGTCAGGTCATCGCACGATGGAGAGCGACACAAATGTTGAAAAGCCAACCAATAGGCTTTCGCCAGTGGTGGACTATTACAGCTGTCAGAAGTCAATGAGCGCATCCTCTACGTCTTTGGCTGGTAAGAAGAGCCAAGTCGGGATTCAGGGCTTTCTGATGCTAGCGCTTTCTCCATCTGCCTGAGCTTACAGTCTACGGAAGGCGAATAAAGACGGCCCGAGGGAAACCGCACCCGTAGGCAACCCCAAACGATCCCTCAACATCGTACTCCTCATCTACTGTGAGAAAACGGGCAATGTAATACAAAGCTGCAAACGCATGCAGACAGGCGAAGAATGCAAAGGAAGGAAGTGATCCCGCCGGAAGCACGCTAGCTGGCCTGCAAAGTAGGTGCATGTAAGAAACGGAGAGCCCCCCGAGCAGGTAATGCAGTGAACGGGGCTCCAACGGATGGAATCACATTGAGAGACCCACAACGGGCCAATTTTGCGATATTATATTACAGATATATTAATAGTCCGGATCTAAGAGCTTTGTTTGAAAGTGAGTGCAAAGTGTATCGTTTATACGGGAAGACGGCGCTAAATTGCAATATGCTTGTTCACTCATTAGCAGAGTGTTCAGGCCTAACGTGATTTTGACGCACAAGGTTTATTGAAGGCTACAACAGCTTAATGTTGCGTTAATTTGAAATTAGACCCCAGATGCATGACCTATGACTTCCATGTTGAATCCGTTTGTCATGACGTAGTGCTAGGTATGCCATATGTGACCCTAGAGGAGAAACGCATCAGGCCACATCTGCGCGGTATGCAGGTTAGCTTGCAAGAAAGTGCTGAAAAAAATAGCTTTTAGGCCCCGAAAGAACGCTCATCTCATGTGGGGTGAGCGGAGTGGGAAGGATACCACAACAATATGAGGCAGGGCTTTCATCTGGAATTTAGCAGTGCAGTAAGAGAAGAACGGTTCGGAGCATCCAACCCATCTTGGTGGCTATGCAGCTAATACCTTTATCGAGAAATTTTATCGGGGTCCTCGCCATGGAATAGTAGGCAGGGGCAAACATTGTGGAGGACCTCATGAATATGCTAAATAATGATGAGCTTAAAGGAGGCTGCTCACCGAATGATCGCGCAGCGCAGCATATTGGGCTGATACTCGGGTCAATCTCAAACTGCGTTCCGGGGTATGAAAACCCTCAGAGCGCGAAAAGGAGCTCGAGTGGCAGGCTAACCACTTCTTGAGAAAAAGCAAAGTGTAGTAACGGACCAGAGCCTTTGGATATAACCTCATATTGGCATTGAAATTGACGAGAGGAGGACCATGTCTGTTAACTTTAAACCACTGAAAAAATTTCACTGTGAAACAAAAGTTCCCAGTGACTGATTTCGGTGAATTATTGGAAACCCACATGGATCAATAATAGGCCCTACGAACTCGCCAGAAGTCGAAGCTCTAAACCAGGTGGCTAGGACCATTTGTCGTGCTCTAAGGACCTCATGTGCTTTCTTACTTTATCGGCTGCCTAGAAGTTAAGGGACCAGAAAAGTGGCAGTATCTTTTCCTAAAGAAGTGTAATTCACCCGAGCCATTCGCGGACTTGGCCGCGCAGGGAAGTGTTTTAGTAGAAGCGGAGGATCCACTACGAGCTGTAGAAGTGTTGGATTCTAGGACTGTCAAGGTTCCAAGATGCACTAGTTAAGAGTTTCTAGTAAAATGAGTGGGTAGTATCAGCCACAAATGTTAATGAAAAAGCAGGTTGGGAGCTATCTTGCCCTTAAAAAAAACAGCGGCTCTGCCTTAAAACTACTAGTTGCCACACTGGATATTCTTTGCTTTTGCGTCCTTTGGTAAGCTTTCTTTGTCAGCGCACCTCCTGCATGAAATGAGTGCCTCCATCTATGGGTATAGCGCAGGGAAATTGGTTTTATTAGTATTGTTAAGGCGTTGCTCGAGACTCAGATTTCTCCGCAGGCGCTCCCACGTATCCTCTCCCTACATTTTTCCCTCTTGCCTCATTTGGGGCTTTGAATTTCGACTACACCACGTGCATCAGCTGTAGCAATGCTCAGGCATCGGTCTGTGGAGTGTGAAGACCTCGCAGAACTGGTGTATATTTGTACTCCCTTCACACATGTTACTTCTACTTTCTCGTAGCAGGAGGCCCCCACGTGCCAGCGCACGGACGACAGTGAGCCAACGCGCCGCCGCGGTCGTGTTGGTATGGTGATTCGTTCGATGTTGGCTAGCGCGCGTGTAAAAGTAGCTAGTGTCTTAGGGGTTGATGCACACTTTGCTTCGCCCATTTGCATTGTTGTTGCTTTTCTTCCTGCCTGGGGAGTGGCGGTAGGACGGAACAATATTTTTGTGTTCTTCACGCTGTTGATCACGATGTTCATGTACGAAACGTGAAGGCCTTTGCTTATATGAGCGCCGAAAATTGTAGCGGCCTAAGGTACACTCAAATCTTAGTTTATTACACTGTTATAATTAAGTAAGATTTAGTGAAGAAATGACCAATCGGCTTGTCCGTCCACACACGTGAATTATTGAAGGGAACTATTAATTCGATACATGAAGACGCATTGGTGTAAGCTTATGCGCCAGTTGCTATGCTCGACTAGTTGCGAACGCTCGGAGCGCTGAGAAGATGCGTCTACGTGCACCCTAGCTGTCGCTCTCCCTTCATATGGGAACGACTGATGGGTGCACGCACGGGTAAGACAAAGTCCTTTAGGAAAACACTCTGTAGCTTCCTAGTAAGTGTGTATTGAGCCTGAATTTGAATGTCTTTTTAGAAGGCATTAAATGGAGCGGTACAGTTGGTAGCAGCTCATTGTTCGATGCAGCTGCTCCCAGCTCATCCACTGATTGTTTATCAAGTGGGATGTTGTAAAGCTCCACCTTAGGTCTCTTGAGGGACACACTTTGATTTAGGCTCAACGCAAACTTAAAAGAAAGTCATTACGTGGCTGATCAAAGAGCCTCTTTCCCATTTGCTGCACCCGAACAACAAACCAAATATTTAATTCCTTTCTCAGTCTCGGCTAAGTGATGTAATAGAACATGCCTTAAGTCTAGTTTAGCCCGCCACAAAGAGTGCTCGTGTAGAGGTCCTTGCACTTCACCACAGCGAAGAATCGCACTTTCTCAAAGTCTCATAAAATCATAAAAGCCCTACCTTATTTAATGTAAAGAGGACTAATGTAGTGGATAGAACCGAAGCATAACTCGGCTTGCTACTTCCTGCCCCTTCCCAGGCGCTAGCCCAGCATAATGTAAATAAAGAGGAGCATGGCTATTACAATGAAGTGTGTAAGGAAGTGTCATCTAGTTTTGGCGGGATTTTGGGTCTTAGCGTCTCTTTTTAAAGATCGTAGAGGGAGCGTTTTCCCTCCACTGTATGCGTCCGAGTAGCGCGAATTACCTTTCCTCTCTCAGCAAAGAAACAGCCTGTTGACCCACTTCATCTATATATTTCATTCTTATTTTGGCATAAGCTTCACTTAGCTTGTGGTCATTCAGATCGTTTCCATGTGCCTCCTTCCACTTTTTTGCCGTCATAGCATAACGGTCTGGCCAGCAGCTGTGACAAAAGAAGTAGATATGGACCTACCTCAATCGCGCATGTTTTTACCTGCACCACTTTGCAATAAATGACCAACCCCCTGTATCTCTTGCAACCCAACAGAGGGGCGTACAAGTAGACAGACCTCTTTGCAGCGTGTGCCCGCACAGTATTTATATAGCAGAATCTTTGCAGTAATCCATCAGAGTTTCGCCTGTAAGGGTGGTGTTCTATATCCTAAACAGGTGTTTTCATAGCTTAATGGAACGCCAGAGCCTAGCCACATCCTACTCACCGCTCATATCTGCTTTATTTTCGCGGTAGGTAATAACAGTGCTACGTTCTCAGATTACATTTAGAGTATAGCTCATATTTTGTGGTTTGTTGCTCTCCATAAATGCGCAATTCCTTGAGACAACAGCAGCTGCCCAGCGGTCTCCCTAGCAAAAGCACCGGCCACCGGCAGCCCGCAAAGGATTCTTTGGGTATGCCCTGCAATTTTTTTGAATGTAAGCTCATGATCTTCCGGATTCAATTCATAGCTGATGAGGACTCCCTCGGTACACTCATCTATCGTCGGAGGTCGAGGTCACGTTCTCACTGCTATGTACCTGTTCCTGCTGGAGGGCATCGAGATGCCAGCTCTCGGGAGTGGACAGGCTTGCTTTCTGTAAACTACGCATAAAACGGGATTTTTATCAACGTTGGATTTGTATACTCTAGACCACGTGATCTGCTAAGTTATCTCATTCTCTACGGTCCAAAATCCACCTCAACCAGGGCGTGGCTTTCTCTAGAGCTTCATACCGCCTCACCAAAGGCGATAGTATCAGCACTAGTAAGGCAGATACCAACAGTATTTGGTGTAGGAGAGCGGTCAAACTGCACACGGAAGAGCATCATCCGCAACACCGACAGAACTGGCAGAAGCAACAAGAAAAACGGCATCGATTCATTTCTTTGTTATTTCCTCCTTTGTGTTTTCATTTTTCGGGGTGAAATTTTCAGTGTGCATCGTTTAGCTGGGATTCACGTTCTTGCTTTGTTTAAACTCCCCCCGTTGTGTCCATAGATTCATGCCAAGATTCGCATGGTTTTAGACACTTCTACTGGAACAACTCCGCAGCCTTATACAATAGACTCCCTTATTGGTTATTTTGCCGAACGCTGTGCCTATCACATACTGATGTATAAGTGTGTACTTCTTCTTTCAGTATATGTCTTCCGTAGCAACAGGTGCCCACAGCAAGCCACAGCCTCCCTGCACAAGCTTGACTCCCACTAAGATACCAGCAAAGTCTCCGACATCTTTCGGTACTCACAGCAGAGAGGGCAAAGATGGCAGCCGCACCGTCAGCGTCTATATTTTTCAGTAGGGCCGTGGTGCTGCTAATGCTCGTTGTTTTAGTGCGTATGGTGCATTGTGAACGGACGGCCGCAACAGGTGGCAAACGCAAGCAAAGGCCGGAGGGGATTAGGGGTATAAGACAGACTAAAGCAAGGGCCTTGAGGTCTTTCCATTCTTCCTCCGTTTTCCTAGCCAGCACAATGGCTGTTGACGGTGTCGCAGTTAACAGGGTAGCAGAAGCAAGTGCAGAAGCTAGTGCAGGAGCATCCGATATATCCGGGCCTCGAAAACGAAATATTTCCCATGCCACATTTCTCGTTCCTCTAAATCCTTATGCGTCAGCATTCAATGAACAAGGAAGCGGAGCAAATCCTTGGCTATCTGGAGAGCTTAAGGTTTTCATCGACAGATTTAATGTTCCTGTCGTACACCGTAAGACCTTTTAACAAAAAAAGCGAACGAACGGAACAATGGCACTTGGAAGAGATCCAGCTCCAGGCTAATTGTAAAGCCTTTAGGACTGTCGCATGGTTTGGCTTTGTTTTTTTGTCATGTTTGTGCCTTTGTCTTCACCTTTCTACTTTTCTGTTCTATCTATTGGCTTCACAACTCAGTTGTTTCCAGCCCTATCGTCTCAAAATCTTTACACCGCATGCTTCTCTTCCACTAGTTCGATTATTCTCCAGCCTTTTTTTGCCTTGCGCTAAGGTCTGTCTCCATCCTTGTCTTCATACTTTTGACTTCGAGGGCCGTTTTATCTGGCTGTCTTTTTGCAGGCTCTGGTGTGTTTGTGGACTTGGGCATGTCGAATATGGGTTACCGCCAGGTGAGCGGGGACTGTCCTGTCTATGGCAAGTACATCAAACTCTCAAAGACGGGCTCCAGCACGCTGAGCTTTCTGGAGAACTACCCAGCTGGAGGCTCTTCCACCCGCCCTCTTCCCGGAGGTTTCAACCTTTCCTATTCTACCAGCTCTGGCAAAGCCGTTTCTCCCGTAACGGATTCATTTCTGAAGAGCGTCTTCGGCTGTAAGACTCCCATAATACGCCGCAATTTTTATTTAGGAAGAGAAGAACGTCTGCGTCTCTATGCCCACCGGAGCCACTATGAGCCAAATATCTGTACAAAGTTGAATTGTGGTGTGTGTGCACACCTCAGCTGAAGGTCCACAAACTCCCATTGGCCGCTGTGCAAAATACGCCAATTTGACAGAACCAATGAAACCGGGGACGAACACGCCGCTGAATTACAGATTGCCCTTTGTGTACAACATCACGACTCAGAATTGTTACGTCCTGCATGTTTCCATGCAAAAACTAACGGGTAGCAGGTAATCTGAGCATCTAGATATCGGTCTTCTAGTCTCTGTATTCCCCCTTCTTTCTGCTTTTTCCTTCTGCAATGTCACTATCCTTCCACCTCTTTGCCCTCCTTCCATTTTACGTGGCTTAGTTGACTTTGTAAACATTTTGGATTTTCGTGCAGCAGTGCCCTTTGCCCTCCAGCTACGTTTGGCTTGTCACAATTCTTTTCTAAACTTCTCTTCTTTGTGTTTATCATTGTAGGTACTGCTCAACTAACGGGTCTCCCTCTGGCTTAGTTTGGCCTTGTTTTTCTCCTGAAAGGAGCGCTTCAACGAGTGCCAGCCTCGTATATGGCTCGGGATATATGGGAAGGGATGCGAATAACCCGGATGGATGGACAACAAAATGCCGTACGTTTTTTTCATGTCCACTTTCATGGCAGCCTCACGGTTTCAGAAGCTACTACCGTAGTAAGTAAAGTGGATCTAAATACTTGGGAGGGGAGGCACGAACGCCAACGCTCAGCGATGGTGGTGGGCAGCATGCGCTGATGTCAGAAAGTCTAACCGTTTACATCCATCAGCAACAGGGAGTGGGAGAAGGACACAAATGGAGGGAGGACCTTGCTGAAATCGGAGGCGTGCGAATGCTACATTTGTTTGCTCCCCCTGCTATCTTGAAGGCAGCTAGGAGGAAAGGCAGAGCAGTGTCTTCAGAGAGATTTAAATAAACATGGCATTAGAGCACCTAGTTCCCGATTGGTATGCAAGGCAACAGGCGGAAATGTGGCGGTCCTTGTGTACATACAGTTAAACCAGGCCCTTGTACCAGAAACTGACGTGCTCTTATATATCTATTCCTGCTTGCTGTCGACTGTCTCATCGTTCGCTCTTCAGCCTATATGTCCGTCAAGGATGCCCTGTTCGGCGCGTGGGGCAATGGAAAATGTGAAGAAATTGGCGCATCCACCCCTGGGGTAATAGCAGTTAGTGTTTCTACCAAACAGCATTGTTGGGAACAAGTTTTCATGCACTCCGCCACCGATGAGACTACCGCTGACAATCCGGCCAACTGGAACTCTGTTTGGCCCACGTTCGATAGCAGTGCCACTGCCTCGGGTAGGGGGAAACGTGGAGGGATGGAGAGACAAAGGGGAGGAAGAAGGGAGAGGTGGAAATAATATAGAGGGAGTAGGGGACAGAAAAAGGGGGGGCATGTAATGAGAGGGATAGAGACCTAGTGAGAAGCAAAAGGAAGCACGAGATCGATCTAGATGAAGACGTTTAACCTTTACTAATCTCTGTGCTGCGTTGCTTGTCTTTCTTTATGCAAGCTTTTCCGACAAGACCTGACCTATTGATTCCTTTGTTGGCAATTTAGATAACGGAGACAACTGTACGTGCCTGTGCAGGCGGCGTGGGTTATAACTACGCAAACTTCTACGCAAATGCCAACGGTTCAGGGATGTGTGTCATATTTCAAACGGTCCCAACTTGCTTCCTTCGGTCTAGTGGCAACACCGCTTACAACGCACTGGGCTCGCTGGATGAAGAAGTGCTTCCTGGTTCCGCCCCAGGAGGAGGAGGGGAAGGAGGAGGCAACGGTGGGGATGAGAAATCGGAAAAAGGAGGGAGTAAATAACAGCAAAAGGACCAAAAATCCCACAGATGCCTCGCCTTGTTCTTATATCTCACCTGCATATCGCACATTGACAGCTGCTATTTGCATAGAATCCCCTCATCTACACTCTCGTCCCCTGCTTCCCTTCCAGCTCATATTCCCTCTCCTTCTGCCTTTTTGGCTTTTCTCCTTCGGTATCCCTCCTGCTCCTCCCTATCCTCCTCTGGTCGGCCCCTCATAGCTGTTTTCTGTTTGTACCTTTAAACTCATGTGAAAATCTGGTTTACCATGGCTTTTCGTTGATCACTCAGTCCACGAGGGCTTTGTTGCGCAAAAAACTCCTGTCTCTCTCCTCCTCTCCCCTACTCCCGCTCTACACCTCTCTACATCTTTACTAGTGTGGATGCTCTTATTTATACCCTTTTCCTCTGCATATGCTTTCGTTTGTTCTCCATTGCTGCTTTTCTTATCAGTGAATGCGTGGGCACTTGCTGGAGGGATTGTCGGCGGCCTTCTCTTCGTGGGTGTTATCTCTGGAGGCGTCCTATACAAACTACGGTTAGCAAAGAAGATCTTGCAGACATAGAATTGAGAGTTGCTTAGCAGCACTGCCCTTCATCGTTTACAGATCCATTTTCACAATGCTTGTACATCAAAGGCACCATAAGAACAGTTTTGTGCGTTTGCCCGGTAGTTTTTGTGTCGAACTGCAACTGCAAGTTGGCTTCCTTCTCAATAATACATATACAGTCGTTTTTGTGTGTCCATCTAGATAGATCTGCAACTGTGTAATGTGTGCACACCACGTGTGCATATAGCGAAGGCTGCGTACTGTTCCGTTTAAGGGGACATGCGCCACCAACTTTCAGACTGTCTTTCAGGCTGAACGACCACTGTTCAGTGAACTGATTTGTTCTGTTTCCGTAGATGCGGCTTACGTATCTGCAGGGAGCCCTTAGGTTTGGCCAGCACGGCCGCCCCAGAAGTGATGTCTGATGCGTTGCGTGGAGCGCCAGGCAGAAGCGCGACAGATGCAAACGTGACTCCCGAGGAGTCTTTCTGGAGAGGTGAGGCTGCTGTTTCTCTGTTCCATTGTTTGTTCGTAATATTCTTCTTCAATCGCTCCTTGACTTTCGTCGTATCTCGTATATCGTCTGTCTCGTCTGCGTCCTGCCCATGGCCTACGCTGGTGTACCTATTTGCGTCATTCGGTCCACATCTTGTGTTTCCTATTAAATCTTCTAGTGCCTCATTCTATGTTCTTTCATTCCATTTACCTACTTGCCTTCTCTTACCTTCAGCCTCATCAGGCTTGATATTCGGTCTTGTCTTTCTTTATTTCCGCTTGTGCATCCGGCAGACCCCGAGGCTATGGCTGCTCTTTGCGGCGTCCCGAATTGATTGGTGGCTGCATTCGTTTGCTGATTCGTTTGCATTGAAAATTGGTACATGTTATGTGGGGTGTGCGCTTCTTCATCTCGCCTGCAGAGGAAGTAGCGGAAACGATAGAAGCAGAATACGGTCGATAGATTAGATGCATACGCATCCACAAGTCATCAATCAAGTCTTCCCCTACCTTTTCTCCTTCTCTCGTTCGTCGCTCTCCTGTATTTCGGCCTTTGTCAGAAGTGGGATATTTGGTGTCTTTTGTAATCAATTGAACCGAAAGAACGTCTGTTTCTGCTTCAGCTGCAATTGCATAGAATGCTTGCAGAAGCTCCTTGGTGTCCCGGCACCAGCCACACGGAAGCGGACCACATCACGGTGCAGGCTTTACACACACATATCTAAGGCCTCTTATATTGCATACAGTGTGTCTCGTGAAAAGCTTGTGGAATCTGTACTTGGTGAACTTGTCATGTATCACACCGTAGTACATTTTACACTTTACACGACGGAGAGGCCTTGTCCCAAAGGCTTGAGAGGGATTACAGAATATTGCGTGCAAACAGACGAAGACATCAGTTATGTACAAGTTGTACCGAATGACAATTGACCTAGCTGCAGGCACAACAAACTCGAAATACGAGAGATAGGGATAGAAAAGGAGTTGCGTAGAGGACAGCGCAGCGAAACAAATGCAAAGCAAGGGAGAAACAGGAGAAGATACGCAAAAAGCAAACGCGGTGACAGGAAAAAGCAGATGGCTCGTAAGTTTCGGAGAGCTACCTATGGAGGCAACAATGGACATCGCAAGGCAGCAAACATAGGGCCGCCCTAGTTGTTTGTGTCGGTGTACTGATTGGCCCCCAGTAGACGCTGTTATCGGTCCCATGAGCCTCGAATCTCATGAATGTTTGAGGTTCGGGCTAAAGTGTAGTGCTGCTTGCTGGAGTAAACTATCTACTTGAGCATAGCATGCAACGCGGACAGATTGTATTCTTCTGCCTAAAACGCAGAAGAGAGCCGTGGCGTTGTTCTCGAGAGGAGACTTCAGGCAGACGGTGCGGAACAATAAATGCGTGAGGTGAGGAGTGCCCGCTTTTTTTCCACAGGCTCTCTTTGTTAATGTGTCCCTCAAGGAACTACCTCATGAAACTAGTTTTATCGTCGATTGGGCTAGTAAACAAGTTTTTGTTAGTGTTCCTTTGGATGTGTCCTTATTAATGTGTTCTCTTCGGAGACTTAGAGCCCAGCTTGATGTGCTGTTCACTTCTAGGCAGCGCTTTGCCTCTGCAATTTTGCATTCGATTGTAGTGGGGTTCATCCTCTTGAACATTACATCGTGAATCACAAGAGCACTCTCGTCGATAAGGAACACTAATTATTGGTATCTTCTTGGGGGAAATTACAGATTTACGGCTCCAAGTAGTGCTTCCGATTTGCCGCCCATATTTATTGTAAAGAGATAAAATGGACAAGAATGCTGACCGAGGGAGGTAATTTGTAGGCGAATAGTTTGGTGTTTAAAGTATGAAGTGTTGCGTTGGCAGCCCAGGGGCTAGGGCCCTTCATTTGCCTTCCCCTGTGCCCTTGTTTCTTCCGCTGCCATTATACGGCTATTCTTTTATCCAACATCCAATTATTATGTAGGTGGCCACTTGTGTTACCGGGAGGATGAACTTACGTTGGCAGTGCTTGTATCTATCGACGCAGCGTGCTCGGCTACTTGTTGGGCTACACCTACCATCGAAGTTTCGGCATAAGGAACAACCAGACATGCACATCCTTGACCTTCCACACAAGGATAACCATGGTCTAAGCAAAGCAGCAAATTTATTGCAAACAATAAAATTAGTGCTTCGGGCTCTGATCAATTGACTGAAGGCCCTATCAATGGCCGTACTAGGACACGCGGGCATAGTTACACATGTCCATAAGCAGAGGTTTCGCTTACCCCTATGAGTAAAGCCGAGCAGAAGACCCATAGACAGCGAACAAGGACGGCAATTAAAGTTCTGAATTGGTACCAGCAATTCGCTATTTTCGGACTGCCATCAAATACCTCTTTCTCCGGACAAAGTATCATCAATACCATCCGAATTGACGATTTATAAATTGATCATTCCACGCCACTGCAAATCAGTTGTGAAGACCGGATATCTGGCCTGTAGAGCAGTCATTACTTGTTGTCGATTGCTGTGGACGCCCATATACCCCCGGTCACAAACGCCACCTAACAAATAAGTCTATTGAACATGTGAAACGGCTGAAAAAAAACCGAAATGCTCCATAATTTTCCCTTAACAAAAGGATTGATCTACGGTTCTCCCCCGACAAGAGAGCGCTCGAGACCACACGGCTGTACATTCAAAAGAACGCTCAGGCGCTGGGCTCAAATCCTCCAGAGAATCTAGCATAATATTTCTTTTCAAGTAAAAGCGCCACAGTATCTTACCTCAACTATTATTTAACGCCCTTCCTCTTACATAAGTGGGAGGCTAATCCAGCTCGGGCCCAATCGATCCGTCGCTTATCACAACGCCAAACGACCGAGGCGCAAAGTCTCCCCACTGCCCCAAAATCTCCCTTCCGCATTTTTGCTGCTCGAAGCTATACTTAGTACTTGAATAGATTGAAATCTGCATTGTGCGTGTACATATGAGAACCGACGGCTTATCGAACTCGAATTCTACCCTTTTTAGGTGGACTTCAATGTCGACTCGCCGGATCGTCGGCCATTAAGACAGGGAGCCAATGTGCAAAACAGTTCATTGTGCTCATCTTGCATCTTTGTGGAGTGAAAAACCTTCAGCTAAAACGTGATAGACTGAAAGCGATGGTCGCTATTGACGTCGTCAATTTTGAGGTGCTCTTTCTCGTGTTTTATCCCGGCAACAGGTCTACCCCGATTTGATGGAAAGCAAAATGATGCCCGCAAAGCAACAGAAGTACGCAGATGGCACTAATGGCCAGTACCTGTGCAATTGCTGTGCGAGTTTTGCCTTCAAGTGGACTCGTCGGCGGAGTGGGTGGCGTCTAAGCCTTTTTTATCGAACCCTTGCGGCAGCAACACTGTTAGGCAACATGATGACGCTAGGGTTTTATCTACTTATCACCAGTCGTGACTTCTTTAAGAACTATAGGTGCGGCGAAAAAGCCATTTACTTTATCACCATTAACTTTTTAACATCGATGGCGGTTACGGGAGCTGCTGGGATCGCCGGCGTTCTAATGTCCCGCGTCTTGTTGCTGTTCGACAATTTCCCGATTTCGGAGTTCATGGGTCTAGGAAAATGGACCAGCCGGCTTGGCTGCATCGTGAAGTGGCTTCCCATGCTCATTACTTTTTGTTTCTTCGGATGGTTCGTACTCAACTTGGTCAGCACCACCTGGATTTTCTTATTACCTGAGGGTTGGTGCAGCAGAAGATGGAACTATGCTGGCATCGCTGCTGTGACAAACTGTCGCATCTGGTATAGAGGAGATGCCAAGTGCATTGATGCTCGTAAGTCTTCCCCGGTAGTAGCCGCATCATGATCCTTAAGTCCTCCTCGGTCATCGGATTCCATGTGTACCATGCCAAAGTGTCTAGCCTTCCTATCCCATAGTTTTCTCTTATGCCTTCTGATGTGTCTCAATTTGCCTACATTTTCAGCTCCTTCTACAGCATTATCCAATGTCAGTTCATGTTCTTGTAACTCTGTTTGCATGACAACCACCCATATGGATGCGTCTGAGTGCTGCTTCTGAGTCCTCTGCTTGCATTGCCGCCTTCAAGATGTGATTGCTCTCTCCCCGCCACAGTACATATATTTTACAGTACTTTGATGGCATGATGCAGAGGAAAAGGAGCTCATAGACTCCGACATGGTTAGTGTCTGCAATGACGGAGAGGAGCTGTCAAACCTGAGTTTCTTTTGGTTTACGCCTAAAAGTGAGGACTTGTCATGTTCTATAGGCGAGGTTTCTATTTGCAAGGCCTACAAAATCTTATTTTCGTCCTTCGCGAAATCAAATTCTGCAGTAGTTGACTGGTCAAGCCCTGAACTCTCGGGCTGTTCGGGTGCCGAGGCTGCCAATGAGCCCCCGGAAACGTTTATGACACCCGGAGATACAAGTGATCTTTACCGTTACCTCCTCATGTATTGTGTTGGGTGGAACATCACATTACTTACCCTCACCCTCCTCTTCTTCTATATCAAGTTCAGCAGCAAAATGGACTCTATCTTTCATCTTCCGAGCAAGCCAAAAGAAAACATTTTTCTCAAGCTGTTCAGACCTTTCTCGCCTTTTGACAGATAAATACTGTCAGGGTATGCCTCTGCAAGCCACAGAGTTGAGGTCTACGAGTGCGGGACAGGGGAGATATGCTCCTCAAGAAAAAGGTGAATATTCAAGGACACAACCCCAAGCCCCCAGCGAGACGGGGGCATGCGCACTGCAAAAGGCAGAGCCCCACGTGTCCGGCCATCAAGCAAGGACTTTAGCGACCCAAAAGGAAGACCAAGAAGCTTCTACGTGAAAGTGCTAAGGGATTCAAAGAGTGTGTCATTAAAAGATGCCCAGAGGGCGTGCCCTGGGGCCCTCACAATGAGAAGCAAGGTAGTCTCACTCCCCTCCTCTTTGTGTGACCTTTGACGCAGGGTCTCACACCTCAGCCATTCAACGGGGCAAGTGGGTTCTGTACAATTTATCTTCCGTTTTTGCAGTAAGTATGGCATCTCAACACCTTGCGGTGGCGCGGCTCTGCCTAGTCAAGGGAGTCCATTGGTCACAGCAGGGGTCAAGGCCACGTCGCCAAGAGGTGCCGCTTTGTATTTTTGAATCCAGCTACCTAGCATACTTTCAAAGGTGCCGGGAGCAGCCTAGCTCCTCTGTATGGCCTCGTCTCTCCTTGCCCCTAGGCAAGTGACCAGACGGCTCTATGGGGGTGCAACTCATTTACTAACTTCCGTCTTTTTTTCTCAAAGTTTTGTCTGATGCCAACCCCGGGGTTGCTACTAGAAAACGACCACAGCCAACTTGATAAGTTGCTAGGAGGCGCTTAAAGCCTACTTGTCCCTGGAGGTCGTTGGTGTGAGCCCCCTCTACCAGCTCAAGGTGGCTGATGACCTGACGAGTGATGCTGCTCTGCCTCCGGGGTTTCGTTCAGAGCCTCAATCATCTCCTGCCCACAGAGAGCAGCAAACGCTGCCAGGGCTGTCCCAAGGGCCCCGTCTTCCAGGGCAGTCTCGACAGCCTCTGGGAGATTATGGGGGGGACCCTTGAGGTCTTTGCCTCCACTTGCAAGGGCTTCCATTGCCCTCCGTACGCCTTGCAATAGCTGGGGAAGGGAAATGGGCATGCTGACTGCTGGCGCATCCTGTGATAGAATATCAGCTGAGAGGATTTGTCTTTGTGTAGCCCTAGGGGCTCGTAGAGGCAACTCACAAAACACAAAGTCTAGCAGGTGCCTAGGCCGTCTGGCAACACTAATCCCCTGCCCCACCCTAAAGGGATACTTATGGGAGCCCGTCGCGCTACACCAGCTGCGGCAGCGGGTCTGCTTCGCCTTAATGTAAACGCTGTCGCTTGGAAGGCCCCTGCTCTTCACCCATGCTGCAACCTCCCTCACAAGGTACACCACGATTGCCTGCGGCGCAACGGAAAGAAAGGCAAAGACCAGTGGTCCAGACAAGGCCGATTCCTAAAGGGAGCGCTGGCGTATGTTTGATGGATGGACACTGGAAAAGCAACTAGAGAGAAACGCTTCGAACTGGGAGGAGGAAGAGGAGGAGGGACTGGACTCCACGCGGCACGGGTGCAGCGGCAAACAATTTTTCGGATGCAGCATCAGAAGCAGGAACGCTGTGGAGCCCCAACATCCCCGGAAGTCGCCCACAAAATTTACACCGAAAACGCAGGGGAGGAGATAAGAATCCGTGGCGCTGGGGGCCCCCCAGGGGCCCCTGAGGCAGGGAGGATGCTTACCTTGGGGTAGACGGGTGCTTCTTCTCTACTGTATTGGGAATTCCTGCGTTTGTGTGGTGGCCGAGTTGAGGGCAAATAGAGCGCTTCTACCTCCAAGAGAGGAAATTGCAGCAAAGATGCAACAACAATCAGCTCGTGGAGGTCTGTTGAACGCGGAAGGAAGAGGCAAACGTTCGGAGCTACCCTGAAGAGGGCAGAGGAAAATCACAACGTGATGAAGCACACCTCTGAAGGGGCATGTGAACCACCCGGATGCCGCTTGGTCGGCAGACAACAAGCGACAAGGGATCGAACACGGCTATACGCGCGTGGCAGTAGAGGCCGGTCAGGCGAAAAGCACCCAGAGTCACACTGCTAAGGAGACACCTGGCAACATGTCACTACATGGCGCTCCTCCGCAGGAGCAGCCGCAGCAGCAGGATCGGAATGGATCGCAGCATGCAGCCTCGCCGTTTAAGCAACGGCTGTACGCGCACCTGGAGGCTGCCAGGATGAGGTCGAGCATCCCGCGGCGGGCCGAAAGCAGAAACCTAGTCTTTAGGAAGTCACGGCACCCCGCATAGCCCTCGCCCCCCCACGGAGGCGACATGTACAGCCAATCAACTGGCAGAAACGCATCAGGAGAGACGGGCAGTGGACGCTGGGAGAAACGGGGGGGCCCGCTGAGGCCTGCTTGGGGGGGCTCTCCCTCGGTTTCTTTTCTGGCAGCGACGTGCTCACCGCTAGACTGAGGAAGCCCTTCAGGATCACTGTTGACTGCTGCCGTGGACGCTACTGGCTGCGAGGGAGAGGCCATGCTGGCGCGCCTCTGCCGCGTCACTCTTTGAGCAGCAGCAGCTCCGGGAGCACTACACAGACGGCATGGGAGGGGGCTAAAAGGAACGCAGAGGCATGCGGCATCCTGAGCGGTTGTAGCTTCCAATGCATCCGCTTCGGAGGCCCCAACGACGCATGCAGCCTCCTCGCTGTCTCTCCAGGAGCCGCTGTGAATACGGCGTCCGAAAGCCTCGTTAATGGCCGCTTGGCGAGTTGTAAGGGCCCGAAGAGACAGAGCCGTGCAGTGCGTGGCCCCTGCCGGAGAGGTAGCACCCGCTGGCGTTGCTGACGGGGTGGCTGCAGGTCGAGTGTCTCTAACGCTCCATCCCCCCCGTAACACAGCGAATTGCTGCAGCTGCTGGTGCAACAAGACCACGGGAGCGCAGTTCTTGTCCTTGAGTGCTAGGAGCTGCGTGTTGTGGCGGCAAAGAGAGATTCTCAAGAGATCTCTGTCAACCCCCAAAACCAGGTCAAAGTGTCTAGACAGCTGAGCTACGTCTCCTCCAGCGCCACAGCAACCATCTGCCGCAACAAGCGGCCGTAGGCGCAGGGAGGAGGGAAGCAGTGAAGGCGACAGGGCGGAGACGCCAGAGGCCTGAGAAGGCCCTTGGACGGGAGCAGCAACACCCTCCCCTTCTTTTGTCTCACTCGCACAGGAGCTGGTGAAGCCATCAGGATCAGGAAGGTTGCTGCCCTTTCTGCCGCTGCCGTCACTGTAGCCGTAGTGCCCCAGAAGCTGAGGGAAAGACGGCTCTACCTCGTGTTCACATTCCAAAGCCCTCTGCAGCTCGCTATGCGCATGCAGCGCCAAGGCAATGTACGCTGCAACTGGCTCTATCGTCATTTCGCACCATGATGCAGAGTCCAGCAGCAAGCCTTCCCAATAATACTGAGACAGCGTCTTAGGCATAAAGTAGCGTGGCCCTATTTCGTTCCCTATTGCATCGTAAGGCACTCCAGCCGTTCCATCCCATGAAAACCAAGCCGCCGCGGGGGGCCCAGGGGCCTCCGCCTTGTCCCCCGTGCCCTCAGAGACACCACTGGATGGAGCCAAAACAGACAACACGGGAGACGCATGCTCCGTGTAAGAATGGGCAGCCACCGGAGCTGCTGCCAAAGCGGCCGGCCTCTTGTGCGTGTTGCTGCTGCTGCGCCCTGTACAGCTCTTCCTCGCCTGCACACATGCCACAGGAGAAATTCCCACCCCCTGCAACTGCTCCACAAGGAGGCCCTCCTGAGGGCTATCGAACGGCTCGAGATCTTCTTGAGGCCCCGCCACGAAATCCCGAGGGGCCTCTTGAGGCTCTTGAAGCAGGGAAGGCGGAATGGGGCATGCCGCAGCTGCAGCAGCAGACCGTAAATGCGGCTGCATGCGCGAAAACAGCAACAAGAATTCTGCAGGGTCCAGACGCTGCAGCTCCTTCATGATGATTCCAATGGAATTTCGGGAGACTTCCCCTTCCGTAGAGTCCTTCCATGCGCATCCCCTCTCATTGCCAGCCGTGTGTGGGTTATTCTGAGAAGGCAGAGATCTTCCCGAAGAGCCAGAGGCCTCCGAGGGCCCTCGCTCCGCTGAACAGTCGCGAATAAGGGCTTCGTACCGCCCCAGCCGCTCTAAGAGGCCTTCATCCACTCCAGAGGGGCCCCCCAGGGGGAAGCCGTGCGCAGGAGGGTCCGGGAGATCGGCCCCTGGGGAATCCTCTTTAAAGCGCCCCCAGGGGGGGCTTCGTGCGGAGGATCCGGAAAGCTGGCTAGGCTGCTCGTTCAAAACACTCTTGTAGGGAGTCCATCGAGAAAAGACGATGCATGCATGGGTGATGAGAGGCGTTGCTCCTGGTTCTCGTTCTGTCTGTTGCGGGGAATTGGAGGGAGATTTCGCTTTCTGGAGCTCAGTAGGCGCCTCGCCGAGTGCGCGCACACCTGAACAGCCTGCTGCCGCTTCTGCTCTTGTTTCTGGGTAGCAGAGACCTCCAAGACGCAGGGGGCTGTCCTCGGCTTTGGGCCGTTGCTGCTGTGAGTGCCACCGCTCTTTTTGCTGCAGGCCCCCGATCCCCGAGAGAAGCTGCTCAAGTTCGGCTTCTGTAGTCTGTACGGTGTACAGGCACGCTGGCGGGAGAGCAGGGAAGCCGCAAGCGAGGGAGGAATGGAGGGGTCCGCCTAGAGGAGTATTCCGCTCCATGCTGCATCGGCAGTCTGTACACTAGAAAATGCAAACCCCAATACTGCACTCGGCACCCTGACAACCATAACCGTAAGGGTGCCAACAGAAGCCGCTGACCCTAATCAGAGCACATTTCCCGGTTTGTTATTTGGATGGTGACGCTCCTATCAATGAAACCTCCGCCTGCAGCCACGGCGTTTACCGCCAAAGATGCAGAGCGCAGAGGTGGCATAAAGCCAAAGCTAAGCGAATTCTAGGTCCTGGTACCCCCTGAAGCCCAGCTCAGGAAGAAAGGAGGACTAGAAAGCACAGTACGTAGGGCCCACCGGTCGATCGACTTGAGGCCAGGATTGAGTAAAGGTTATGTGTACAGGCAACACCGGCTGTTACTTGTGCCGGAGTCAAAAGGGCTTGTTCGTAAAAATTGTCTTCACTCTGCAGGACAAAAGAGCAAATATAGTCTAACATACCTTGGGAAAATGTATCGCTTCAGCGCAGCTGTCCGCGCATTTTCCTTGTCTTGCTCCTGTTGTTTGTTGTTTCACATGTACTACATTAATACTTGGAATCAAATCTACATTAAATTAATTTCCAACAACTGTTTCTCTGAAAATCCCCCCCTGCAGTTAACGAACCCCTCCCCACACCACGCCATGGCCGATCGCTCGTGATTCTCACCCGTAAACCCTGAGGCTTCAATTCCTTCCCAAAGCCGTAACTGACCAAAACGGAATAACACGCATAGTTTCCAGTGTGATTTCGCCTCTGTGTGGCATTGTTCCCTGTCGAGCGAGCCCACAGAGCGATGACAATAACATGCCTGCGCCCTGGCTTGTTGCACTCTCTACGTGACATTGTTGGCGATGTGGTGTATATAGATACGCGTGCAATTAGGCATGTGGTAATCATATCTTTGTTTTTTGTGAAGGGGATCTATCATGTTTTACTGCGGTCTCCTTGAACGGCGGGCAGCACGGAAATCCAGTGCCACGTTTTTAAAGGGGAACATTCCCATCTGCGTTGTAAAGAAAGGACTTCTCCTCCCTCACTGCAAATTCCTCACAATGATGAGCATACAGTGGCGCCGATCAGGAGTGGAGCAGCTGGCAACATGCGCAGAATAGACCACGCAGTCGCACAAATTTCCTTCGCACACAGGCAAAGGCTATGAACTCCTTTCGTACTTGTGTTTCCCTGCACTACAACTATGACAAGCAACAGAGCACTCCGTCGTGAAGCTCACTTATCCCAACACAAAAGGATAATGATCCACAAGTAACTTTCTAGTTCCAACTTGACCCATTTATAGCATTCCATATGCCTAGTGGACATTCTGTGCGATTGCTAGGACTGTTCTGGGTGATGGGAATGACACTGGCATTGCTGTAACTTTTTCCTTTGAGCCACAAACCTTGTAGTCTCAAATAAAGGAGGAAAACTGCATTTTTCAAAAGCAGAGAAGAACGCTCTCTTTCAGTGATCTAGACTGTGCTTCCAGCTGACCGGTCATTTTATTAAGAATTGATAAACGCATAGCTTTAATTGTTAAGCCGCTTAGTTTACCTGTAGAATACAAGAATCCAGATTGGCCTTTTTCCCCGCGCTAATAGTGGCAGCTTCCTAATCACCACTGCCAGGCACTTGCAGGCCGGGTACATGCATCCCAGCGCCAGTCAACACCATTTCAAGTTGCCTTCAGAAAATCAAACATTTGATGGGAGGGGACCGCAAATCGTGCTTCCTGCGTGGCATTTGTGCTTCGCTAACAGGGCAAAAGCGCTCTCCTCGCAGTAAACGACCCTAGAGAACAAGTCCTTTTCTTCAATTGCATGCGCAAAGTTTCCCACTAAAGCGGTATGCTCGCTAAGGGCTCCTCCTTTGCAGGCTATGAAATACACAAAAAACTTAGTGAACTGTCAAGCCAATACCTACGCATTAAAAATATATAATCAAGTCATGAGTTCAATCGTATCAGGTCACTCAAGAGGGCTCTTGCCCTAGGAGTCTCAATTTGCCCTTCCGCAGCCCCTCTCTCCGTCCACAAGTTGTTGGCATACTACTCATTGCACCAAGTATGACATGAGAGCAAGTCATCACAGTGTACACCCACCCGCAAAACACCTGCGAAGGCCCGAAACGACCAGAAGGCCGGCCAACCCCAGGTCTTTTGCGAGGACGAGTGTCCAACGATACCAGAGGGCTATCTCAGTGACGCAAACCACTGCGCTGTGCTTTGGCTGACAAGAAGAGAAAGGGCCAGGCTGACTTCGTTAATGCAGCTCTTAAAACTAAGCTCTGCTTCTCTTCATCTGAAAACTTGGTACGCCGATGCTATGGCCATGGGAACTTTATCGTACCGTGATTTTTCATGCATTTCTAGTGGACTTAGAGATAGGTCCATGGGAAGGTTGGGAAGATGTAGTTCAAAGAAGCAAAGGACACGCAGTAAGGGATAGACACAAGAAGGTGGGACGGATTTAGACGCATACTTTGGCCCTTTGCACAGAGCCCTTACCCCTTACGTCCTACACGACAAACTATCCAGAACCGTCTGAGGACGTGGGCCCCTTGGTGTCCGTTCTAAAAGAGCTCTATGCAACAGGAAGACGGCAAAGGAGAAGACCTATAGGTTCATCTGTAAAATCTTTGCAAGGCCAGAGTAACATCGAGAGGCTGGACGAAAGCACTAGTGCACTGATGAGGGGGAGTGTCAGCGCTGCTGGAAGTAAAGAAGGACATGGGTGGCTCAGGGCACGCTCATAACAAGAGTACCTGAGAACAGACGGTGATGGCGTTCCTTCAAAACGTAAGAGGGAAGTGATGCTTATTTAGGGGAAGAGGAAGTGCAGCAAGTTCATTATTGTTGGATACATGGACCAAATGGCCCTGTGAGGCGCTTCCCAGGCATATACATAGAATAAGGCCGTCATTGCTTTCTTATGTGCAATACTTAATTCTGCTTCCGGTTAACTCCTCTAAGAGGCGGGCTCGTTCACGCTTCGTGTAATTCGGCGGTTTCAGAGTTTAGTGTCTAAAGGGATACGAGGTTCCGCGGTGGGAAAATGAATGCGCTGTTTCGTCCTGATCGAACTAGGATACAGCAGGTCTGAAAAAGGAATCAACAGCTAGTACGTAAGTGGTAGTGCACTGGTAGCGCCTTGTGCTTTACTTGAAGGAATGAAGAGGCGTCCGAAAGCAGCGGAGATGCAGCAAGTCAAGAATAGCACTTCTTGGTCAAAATGTTCACTAGCTCCCCGCCGCTACCCGGGCTCTACTCCGTTTCTTTTGTCAGGAATTTGAGTTGAAGACCTTGCAAGCCCCAAAGAATGCACTGTACTGACTGCCTACAGGCTTTGTTGTTCTAGATGTGCGATCACTCTAGGCCAGACGTTCCCCAGCAAGCATAGTGAACGCACGATATGTTGCAGGAACCCAGGGAGTGCTTACAATGCCAAAGGAGACAATGTAATGACTTGCAGCAACCCTGCCAAATTTTAAAACAAGGCCTGAAATTTAAATGTGGCTAAGGCAGTGGCGGACATAGCTATTCGGCAAGAGCGGGAGAGACAGAAACTAGCTAAAGGAGATTTTGTTTGATTAAGATTGCGCGATGGTGGTGGTTGACCCGAGTTAGTGACAAAATCCAATGACTTCAACGCTAACGAAATGAGCGTGCTGAACCTACCCACTCAAAGCTTTGTTCCACTAATTGAAGGCTTTCTCATCATCCCCACAATTAGGCTGCTTATTCCCCCTCGCATTGAGTATATTTCTTGTATTTGGATGCAAAGCATTAGCGCCAATTCCTGAACTCCGGCTTTTGACGGGGTTGCTTCCGCTGTGTCGGCACTCGCTGGGAGCGTTATGAGCGGTTGCCCTGTTTGCCTCCACCTTTTACTTTGTGAGTAAAAGTCGCCTCTTGTGGGAAAACAATGAGGCATGCAGACACTGAATGATGCTTGATTTGCAATCAGAGGCTCCACGATTTGTAGTGCAGCTCGTGCCTCCTTCTCGCTCTGTCCGAGTATCTGCGTCTTCTTTGATTTGCTTGCTTTTTGGGCAATCAAACTGGATAAGAAACAACGTTACATACATCATATTTGTATTTTCAGCGCGTGCTACTTCCTCGTCTTTTACTCCCCAAAGCAGTCGCAGTGGCCTCTGGGCTTCTGCTGCTTGTGCTGCTCGTACGCTCAAACGCGCCAAGCAGGGCAACGATTTTCTACAGAGTCATTCTCCTCTGGGAGCTGTCGTGCAAATTAAGCAAGACAGAGAGCAGCGACCAATGAAAAAACACGGCGAAACACTCTGCCCACAGGCACCACCAGGAGCCCCCGCTGCCGGGACGAGCAACTGACCACAGCCGACAAAGAGCTGAGAGACTGGGGAACTCGAGAAGAAACACTCGCCGTTTCAAGTTTATTTTTTCAATAGATTCCAAGTAATTTTGGATTATCTTGGCCTTCTTGTAGTTCACCCCCTCTGCCTCTCTCTGATGCGCCATCTTGACAGCCTTCCAGCATCTCTCCCGCGGCCCTCCCACGATCTGCCAAGCGAGCTCAAGGCCTACATACCCTACGTCCAAATCTCGTGCTTGGAAGCCCATGTGTAGGTTTTTTCTTGCGTTTACCAACGCAGGGGGGGACCTCTCTGTCTGCGCGTCCGCGTAAAAATCGCATGTGCCATGGGCTTGCGGGGTGCAGTGGGAGAGGGGAAACACTTGGTCTGTTACAATGGCGTTCCCAGGGGCCCTAGGGGGGCATTCGGGATTCCCTTCTTCTGCGTATGCGCGCCGGCGGATGTACAATCAGCTGGCCCTAGACACCCCTTTTTCTAAACAGACGAACTACACGGGCTCCTTGCTTGGAAGGACAACATCTCCTGCCTTAAGGGCTCATGAAGAGGCTGCTACCCGCCGACGTCGCAGCCTGAGTGCTCAGAGACAGCCGACAGATGATATACCCTTGGGCAGACACAGCGCAGCCCGTGCTGCCTCACGCCACAGTCGCTGTCAGAGA